AAACCCTAACCTGGGCCCCCAAGGCTTGAAGTTGCTGGGTTGGGCATCGTGGGCTCGAAGAGGGCTCAGGGTTTGGGGTTGAGGGTTAGGGGCTTATGGTTACCAGGGCCCGTGAAGACAGTTGAGGTTCCCAAGGCGTTCCAGCAGCGGACTGTAAAAATCTTTGAACCCTAAACCCTAAACCCTAAGCCCTAAACCCTAAACCTGCATTCCAAGAGGCGTGCACATGAAGCACAGGACCCATCGCACGATGTGGGCCCTGCACTGATGCTGCTTACGGCGGCCAAGGTGGGAGGGAACGAGGCTGTGGGGTTGAGGGATTTGGGGACTTAGGTTTATGGGGCTGAACAGCAACTCACATTTTTTCTTTGTTGTGTCTCTCTGTCTCTCCGTCTCTCCGTCTCTCCGTCTCTCTGTCTCTCTGTCTCTCTGTCTCTCTGTCTTCTTCTTCTTTCTTCTTTCTTCTTCTGCTGGGCGTGAGGGACCCCCCAAGGAAGGAACCTTGTCTCTCTCTGTCTCTCTGGCTCTCTCTGTCCTCTCTGTCTCTCTCGTTCTGTTGCTAGCCTTGACTCCTAGCACTGAAGTCGCAGCCTACTTGGGGGTTCATGGATAGCTATGATATTTCTGAGTGGAGTTACATGTACCCTAAACAAGGGTTACAACTATAGCCGCCTTGTACCCTAAGCTTCCCCAAACCCTTACCCCCAAACTCAGTTTTTGCATCCGGGCCCTGATCTTCTGGCCGTATCATAGGCTCCGTAGAAGAGGAGCTGTTCATGTGCACCAGCTTTTCTCAGGTGCTCTCATGAGCCCGCATACACCCTAGAGCCGAGACCCTAAACCCTACACCCTAAACCCTAAACCCTTAACCCTAAACCCGAAAATCTCTTCTTGCTTCAGGGCTCCTGGGGTCTCTGGCCTGTAAGGATCGAAGCCAATGCAATGTACGCAAGCGTCAAGACTCGGTCAATGACTCCGGCCTGAACCTCCTCCAACCCAAGAACCCTAAACCCTAAACCCTACTGCCTACCCTTGAACCTTCAAGCCCGAATCGTGCCTGAGCTCTTCGGCGATCCTCGCCTGCACTTCCAAGGCATCCACTTGCCTCAAGCGCTTAGAATTAGGGTTTAGGGTTTAGGGTTTGGGGTTTGGGGTTTAGGGTTTAGGGTTTGAAGTTTAGGGTTTATAAGGTGGTTCTAAAGTCGGACCCCTCTCCTAGAAAAGGCTTTGGTCTTCTGTTTAGGATGTATGGGCTTTACAACGACTCCTACTTACAAAAGCTTCCTACAAGGGAGCCCTCTGCGACGTAGGGCTTACAGGGATGGTCGGGTTCGGGGCTTAGGGGGCCCGTGGGATTTCAGGCCTCACGATGTCAACATACTCTGATGAGCGCCTCTCTCTGAGGATACTTAATCCCTTCCCCCAAATATTAAAGCCCCCCCCCCTCACCCCCTGTATAAAAAAAAACTCAAAGGGGTTTTGGTACTAGGGGGAGTTCCTATCGTTTGTCCGGAAAACCAGCCCGCCCTTGTCGTAACATGCTGGCTCAGCGAACCCTGAACCCTAAACCTTAAGCCTTAAGGCTTCCGAACCACCCCCCCTGACCCCCCCCCCCCCTCTCTTTGTTGAGGTTTCAATAGGGACGGGCACGGGCTCGGGGATTTTGGGCCAGGGGGTTTTTAATATTAGGGGTGTGTTATTTAAGGGGGAAGGGGTTACCCATGTCAGCCCTGGCTGGTCCACCAAATCGTCCTGAAGACTAAGCGCCCCTAAACCTAAACCCTATGGATCTCCGGCTCATTCTGCCAAGGTGCTGGTTGGTCATACCCCTCGCAAGAAGATCGTCTCGATCAACTTGCGTCGGGCCACCTGCCATGCATCGCTTGGGCAGGATCTGCAGCTTTGCGGCGGGTTTAGGGTTTAGGGTTTCGGGTTTATTGTTTAGGGTTTAGGTTTAGGGGGTCACCAGTGAAAGGAACAAGCTCCAACTTGCTGTGGCAGGTTGTACCCTAGGAGGGATAACTTGCAAACATCTACATCCAAGGGACTAAAGGAGGGACCCTTATAAGGGACCTTAGGGGCGCCGCAGGGGCTATGTTTTTGGGTTATTTAGGGGCTACTTCGGTATAAAGGGGACTATACAAGGTATGTGTGGGTAGAATAGATCATGGGCCATCCACACAGCAGTCCGGCAGTGCGAGGCCCTTCTCATGACGGCCGGCTACTGTTGCAGTCGTTCTTGAGACGTTTCGTTCAACCTCGCACCAGGTGCCAGAGTTGCCCCAAAGCCTCAACCCCGAGACCGAGAGCCTACATATCTAGTTAGCAACCAAGACGCTGAAACCCTTTCTTTAGGGTTATAGGGCTAGAGGGTTCAGGGTGTGAGGGTTTTACTCCGCAACCTGAGAGCTGACCACTCTGAATCCTGAGCAGGTGCGGGCCTCCTACTATGCGATCTGCGAGTGAGCCGTTCGACGAACCTCCTGGGCCGAAGAGGTGGCTCCATTCTTGTGCTTATGATCTTGTCCTTGTTCGTTACCCTTTTGCATGCATACTATCCGCTGTAGGGAGAGAGAGAGGGGGAGAGAGAGAGAGAGGGGGAGGAGGGGAGAGAGGGAAAGAGGTAAAGAGAGAAAGAAAAGAGATGGAGTCAGGGAGGGAGGCGAAGGGAGAGTGAAAAGGGGAATAGAAAAAATTGGCCAAAGGGGAAATGGTACGAGACTAGCTTAGGTCTCCAGGCTCCCGCCATGGGATCTAATCAGAATAAGGGTTATTGTAATGCATTTATAACTTACAGGACCATAAATGAATACGATGAGTAATTCTTCCGCTCCCAAAGTTACTTACAGGATCTCCGCCATGGCAGCGACTGCCTCCCGGCCCACTGAGCAAACAATCAAATCACCAACAAATGGCCACCCGACCATTCTTCTCCATGGTTTGGGCTACGAAGCCTTTTAACCTTAGAAGCTCCAGATCCTTTTTTTGAACCCAGGTGCCTGAACCTTAGAAGATCAAGATCCTACTCTTGAATCCGGGCTCTTGATGTCAGCTGGCCCTAAGCCTGTTTTTGCCTTCACTCGTAAGCCTCTTGCCGCCATAAGGGCTTCCTAGAGCAGTGCTCTTTGAAACCCTCATCGCCACCACATACAAAGTGGCGGGCCTTTTATAGGGAATCCCGCTATACAGAAGTACTCGCATGGGGTTTTCGGGCTTCTGGGTTGCTGATGGGTTTGGAGCTCGGATTCTGTTCGCCAACTCAGAACCTTGAGCAGGTAAACTTCCTAAACCCTAAACCCTAAACCCTAAACCCTAAACTTCCTAGCTTGAGCCCGACGCAATATATGACCATGGCACAAGTCAGACCCCTGGGCTCTCAACGAGTTCAGGATGGTTTAGGGTTTCGGGTTTTCGGGACCCTCAGCGCAGCATGACCTCCAAACCCGAACACCTTTTGCACACCCCTCTGCACCCTAAAACCTCTTGCACACCTGGACTGGCAAACTCTCTACCCTAGCCTGTACCCTGCACCCTGAACCCTGACAGACCGGTGGGAGTTCTGAGGCCTCAGAAATCCAAGCACTGGCTGGTTCTTAGTAGGGGAATGGGGGAATTATTAGCCCCTACTCCCTCAACCTCAACGGGTATATATGGGGGCCCTACAATCCCTCATTCCCTACTATAAGAACCAGGGTGGACTCAGGCCGGCACGCTGAAAGTTGTTTTGGCCGGCAACGGCATTGCCTCAAGCAAGAGGCTTAACAGAGGCTTCTTCCAGCTGTGCCTCCCGCCTAGCTGAACTGAAGTCCACTTTTGCAGGGGCATATGGCACCCTAAACCCTTTTGCATCCGGGTAGGGTGCCCTCAACCCTAAACCCTTTTTGCAACTGGACTCCTTGCTGCCACCTAAACCCTAAACCCTAAACCCTAAACCCTAAACCCTAAACCCAAAACCCAAAACCCCCATTAAACCCCTAAGCTGCGGTTGACGGGTTTAAGGAATGCGCAGGGAAGAACCACCAGTCGCTCGAAGACTGGGGCTGGCCCTGCAATTCCTCCCTTTACTGGCACTCCATCGCGAAACGAACCCGCAACCTCGACATCTCCGGAGACCGGGTTCGTCACAGCTTCCCCCCAAACCCCCCCCCCCGCCCATGCAGCTAGAACCCGAAAACTTGTGGAAGATCAGCCTACGGCCCCCCCCAAGGCCCCGAATGGAGGAAGCACCGCAAATTTTGGTGGACCCTCCGCTTTGCTAGACTCTTTTGGGCGTCCTCTTCAGACCAGGCCTTGCATGTTCCTGGCCTGTGGCATTTCAAAAAAAGGCGTTGTGTCTCTGGGCTTCGAGACGTTTGGGGTTCAGGGATTCTTTCGGGAGGACCCTAAAGCCTAAACCCTAAAGAACCCTAAACCCAAAAGCTCCCCAGGCCCAGCCTCCAGGATCAGCCTGGCTGGTTTCCATCTCAGCGTTTGTCATCCGAGCCAGGGACTTGTCGAGTGCTAGGGCAGCGGTTCTGCCCTTTGAGCTTCTCCAAAAGCTGCGCTGTTATCTGAGAATGCCATGTACCTATGAAACTGAATCTATACACACACACAAACACAGAGCTTTATGTAGAAGATCATAAAGACACCAGAACAAAACGTAGGCCCCACAGCGCAACCTTCTGTGTACGTATATGTATATATGTAATATATATATATATACTATATACATATCATAGCCATCATCTGTCTATATTATCATCATTGCTATTATTATGGTCAGTATTATTGGTATTGTTATCATTATTATTCGGGTTTAGGGTTTAGGGTTTAGGGTTTAGGGTTTAGGGTTTAGGGTTTAGGGTTTAGGGTTTAGGGTTTAGGGTTTAGGGTATTAGGGTTTAGGGTTTAGGGTTTAGGTTTTAGGGTTTAGGGTTTGGGCCTACTTTTGGGCTTCTACGGTATATTCGATGCTCTCATGGCAGGCAAAGGCATCCTTGGAAGGCAACAACACAGGCCTCTGGTTTAGGGGCAGCGGCAATGACGCACCTGAGAGGATGAGCTCTTTCTGCTCAAGGTGACTTTTGGCACTGGGGTGAGGAATTGGGGACGTGAAATTTGAAGAGGTTGAGGTTCAGCGGAGTATATAGGGTGTTGGTGTGGCAACTTCTGGATTTCAGCCACGTCATACAACCAAAGTCCTAAATTTTCCAGAAGAACCGCGCGAAGAGTCGGATTCAACTGTCAACTTCCAATTGACCTAGAGAAACACTAGACCCAAGAGTCACCTAGGACAAACAATGGTGCCCTTTTTGGTTTGAAGGGGCTGATAAAAAGGGAACCAAGCCCTGACACAAGGGAGTAAGGCAAACACTCTTAGGGTTTAGGGCTTCGGGTTTTCGGGTTAAGGGTTGTAGGGTTGAGGATTTAGGGTTTAGGGTTTCGGCCCCCGCAGCCCCTGAAAACACGTACCACACATTGTATCTTGGGACCTGGAAGAATCAGACAGAAACAAAAACGGAGATGATGAGCACCCCCAAAGTGCAAGGTCCCCCAAAAAATGTACACATTAATATATACTTGAGCACAGCCATGGCGCTCTCGAACTGACTGCAGCGGCCGCGCGCCCACGTCGCTGCCACCGCCGGCGGCCAGGAAAGCCTGGTCGCCAAGGCTTGATAAAGCAGAAGGGGGCATGGAAAAGTTGGGGTTATGGGGCTTGGGATTCTGAGGGGTGTTGAGGGTTTAGGGTTTAGGGTTTAGGGTTTAGGGTTTAGGGTTTAGGGGCCCCCCAAAAAGCCTCCCCCCCCCGCCAAATCGGGACCCGATTAGATGTTGTCCCGCTCGGCGGGTCAAGACTGTCAACCGCGCAGGGCCAATGGTGGAGGAGATTAGGGTGCAGGGCTTGATCTAAGCAAGTGCGAAATCATGACTCCGAAAGAGACTATCTAGTAAGAGCTGCCAGGGACGAGTCGCACTTTGAAACGCTTTTCCGTGGCACGGGTCTTGCCAAAAGTCCTGCCCAGGCATGAACATTGAGTGCACAATTGCCCGGCCCGTGCCTTTAGCCCGAACCTTCTCTGCCGGTTGCTACAGAGTGACGGCAACGGTGCTCATCCGGCCCTCAGTGGCCGGACCAAGCCGATGCCACGTCCCACAAACTCAGTTGCTCAATGATTTTGGGCACATCCATCGACCACTTCAAGACCTCGGTCGCCAAGCCCGGCGGAAACGGCGTCCCTTCTGACATCTTCTCCATGGCCTGCAGGGTGGCAACCCCCTTCGCAACAACTGATGACTTCCAGGTGGTGATCAGAGCTGCCACGGCTGCCGCGGATGCGGCATCCCGGCACGCTGGGTCTGCTTCCAGGCACTGCTGCAAAATGCGGCAGCCAGCCGCTGACAACTCCACGCCCTTCTCAGCGCACCAAGCCGCGCAGTCCGCCTGCTTCGCGAAGATTGCAATGTCCAGAAGTGAGAAGTCGCATCTTTGATTAGCCGTGTCTTCCGTTTCGGAAGAAACGTCCCCATCAACGATGAGCTCTGGCAAAGCCAGACCTGTGTGCTGGAGACAGTCCATACGTAAACCTTCGACTCCACCAAAGATCGCGAGAAAGAACGATCCCAAGCTTTTCCTGCCACGCCGTGGGTTCTCAGGCCGAGGAAGGAGATCTTCAATCTCGCGGAACGAAGCTGGGCCAGAATTTTCTGCCAGAACCAGAAACTCTCGGAGATCGACCCTGGGGGCGGCTTCCAGATTCTGGAGCCTGGCACCAGCTGCAAGCGCAGCCAAGAACATGGCGCGGGGCTCGCATGCAATCTCGAAGCACATGGACACCACGGATACCTGAAACCTGTCCGCACCCTGGCCCAAGACAAAATCGGCTTGGGACCCCCCCCAGGACTGTTCAACGCTCCAGCGCCGCAAGGGTCGCAGCTCGGACTGCCTGGCAATGCGTGTGCTGGCCTCTCGGTCACCAGTGAGGATCGCAAGGTCCAAGAGGTGCACAATGGCCTCCTCAGAGATGTCGAAGGGCAAGCTGGCGCGGGAGGTGAGTGCCTTCAAGGTGCCATGAACGATGGGCTGCCGGGCATCTTCGCGCGCTGCCCACGCCGCACGACGGAGGGGCTCATCCCAATCGGCCATCCATATGCCCTTGTGGACCGGGAAGCCAAAGCAGCAGTGAGTACAGGTCTGCCAGCCACGGCAACCTGTAAACGAGCAGCTGCGGCTATTGCGACTTGGCGATGCAGACGACCTCCTCAGGTGGTAGGCTTCCATCCTGCAGCCTTCCACACCTCGCTCCGCCATGGCCAGGGCGGTGTCGAAGTGGCCGAAGGTGAGGCAAAGGTCAAACAAGTGAGCCGGACCCCATTGGGAGGGCACGGCTTGGCTCAACACTTCGTGGCCTTCTTCCAACAAGGCCACGGCCAGATGGAATTCTCTCACTCCCACGACCATGTCCTCACTTCCCTCAGCGTAGCACACGAAGCGTCTGGCATCCATCACGTCCATCGGTTCGGACCTAAGAGCAATGTGGGGCCTTAGTCGTCTTAGTCACCTCAGTCTTGATCTGATGCACACATCCGGTCGCATCAAGCACACACACACATATATATATATGTACATATATATATATATGTGTGTGTGTGTGTGCATGTGCATATATATATATATATATATATGACAGCTTACATGCTTCAGTTTCGCCTTCTTGGTCAAAAAGGAAGCCTTGTCATCCTTCTTTCACCCCGGCCGATTAAGACGCATAAGGGGCCAGAAGCTCAAGACATCAAGCCCCATACCTGAACCATAAACGCCTACAGTCTAAAGCCTAAAGCCTAAACCCTGAACCCTCGGGCCTTCCACATGTCAGCACCTCAGGCTTCGCAAGGCTGGGGCTTGGGGGCTTAGGACTCGGGCTCTGCACCGGGTTTAGGGTTTAGGGTTTCGGGTTCCTGACTTCCACACCCTCAACCATCCCAAAACCCTAAGCCCTAATCCAGCCCTAAGCCCTCAGCGTGGAAATCGTGGAAGGCCCCTCCGCCTGCGAAGCACACTAAGCGCCGGGCGAGTCTTGGCTGAAGCCGGTGCCCAAATCTTCGCCGACGTCCCCGAGGCCGCCTCACCACCACCGGTTTAGAGGGCAGGCCAAAGGCCCTCAACCCTTTGCCCTAACCTCAGCACGCACCTTACCCACAATGCGAACCAACCGAGCGACAAGGTTTCATGCACAAAAACGCTGGCTCAGCTCCTAATCCTCAACTTTGCAATAAACTGGTCTGGTTGAAACGTTGCCGTCGGGGTCTTCTCGGGTTGACGACAGATTGTTCAAGCTTGAAGGCTCACCCCCTTGCCCCTGATGTTGAAAGCTTCCCTCCCTCCTCTCCCCAAAAGATCCCAAACACTAAAAACCTGGGAGGCCTTTACTCCTGTAAGCCCTAAGCTCAACGCCCTCTGAGGGTTTTTGTGTACGGGTTATTAGGGCTGTCACACAATTCAGAGTCAGCGTGATTGCGGAGGGATCGGTTCTTTGCTTACGGGTCGAAGAGGGTTTCGCGTTTCAGGTATAAGACCTGCGGGCCTCCAGCACCTTCACTGTGGAGGACTCGACGGTGATTCCTCACTATCGGATACCAATTATGGTTCCTGTTGGGAGGGGAAGGTACCCCAAATACAGGGCTATAGGGCACTGGATAATCACAGAAAGATCCCGAAAATAGGGCCACGACTTAGAGAACATCCCCAAGTGAGGCCAGGCCCCCACACACCCTTTCCCCAGGTCCAGCTCCAACTACTGTCTCTCCCTCTCCTCCCTTTCTTCTGCTTGTTCTCCTGCCCTCTGCACTGGCCTTGAAGCCCCTATTAGCGAACCCTCCATCGCAGCCAAGGTACGGAAGGACCCAGCAACCTGCCACCATACCTGCTCAAGGGTGTGGGGAAAGTCGCCGCGGCGCGCGCATTCGGGTTTAGGGTTTAGGGCTTAGGGTTTAGGATTCCTAGGCAATTCTCGCAGCGCAGGGGACCTGACTTGGGCAAATGGCAGGGCGAGGCCACTGCAGGGTTCAGCGGACGCCAGCACGGCCCGATCCCTAAACCTTATAAACGCAACCGGGCACAGCGAGAGCAACTTTGATCGGATTGACATTTGAAATGCAAACCCTAACTCCAAGGAAACAAAACAAACCTCTCAACTGTTATCTATCGGTTTCTCTTATATACATATACATATATGTATAATGTGCTGATATGTGGTTACATGCATAAAAAAAACAAAGAAACCTACAAAATCCCCCTTTGGGGGGGGGGGGGGGGGGTGCCTTGCACACGCCGGCCGCTTCCATGGCAGGATGGAGAAACTTGAGGACCTCGGGCTAAGGGTGGTTTAGGGTTTAGGGTTTAGGGTGTAGGGTTTAGGGCTTGGGGTTTCGGGTTTGGGGTTGGGTTGGGTTTTAGCGTTTAGGGCTGAGGGTTTAGGGTTCAGGGCTTCGGGTTTGGGCGGGAGTTAGGGTTTAGAATCTCCGTAGCGGGTAGTACCAGATACATGTATACATGACATCCTTCCTGATTGCAAGCCTCAACCTCCGAGAGCAGTCGATCTACAACAGTATGAATGTCAGAAGAAGAGCTTCATACTCTCCCCACTGGACATGCGACAACGAAAACGAAAGCTGTGGAATGCATTCACAAATGCCGGAAGCTATGCATGGGTGTCTCGAAAAGGGCGCCTTAGGTCAACGCCGATTGACTGTCCTTCAGCCTGAACCACCCCTGGGACGCTAAGTACTAAGCAACCATCGCAAGGGAGTGTTAGCGCGGCCCTGGCATCCATAATTAAACCCTTCAACCTGAAACCATGAAACCCTCAAACTCCCAGACCCTGTTTGCCTTATCCCCTTTTCGCTAGAAACTTTGCTGCATCCGCGCGACGTCCTAGGCGGAGAAGCTCAGCAAACATCCTCGGAGCAAACCCTAAAGCCCCAACGCCCTGAGCCCCAAGCCCTAAACTCCCTGCAGCCCTAAGTCCTAAACCCCGCAGCCAAGAACCCCCTACAACCCTAGAGCCCTAAGCCCTAAACCGCCTTAAAGCCCGAACCCTATCACCACTAACGCCTCAACCCCTAAAAAAGGGGCCTTGAAATTGGAACGGGGTTTTGGGGGTTGTAGCAGTATAATGATAAAGGGACCCTGTGGGAGTACTGTTAGCAACTATTCCGACCCCTATGTTACAGCCCTAAAGGCCCTCATGAACCCTAAACCCTAAACCCTAACCCAGATCTAAGCCCGCCGCACTCTCAGCCAAGCGCCGGGATCTCCGAAACTCCCGCCCCCAGGGATGATGGGACCTAGGTTAATGAGGGGTTTAAGGGGTTTAGGGGTTTAGGGGTGTAGGGGTCCAGGGTTTAAGGGTTTAGGGTTTTAGGGTTTTAGGGTTTTAGGGTTTGAGGGTTTGAGGGTTTGAGGGTTTTAGGGTTTTAGGGTTTTAGCGTTTTAGGGGTTTAGGGTCTTTTTTTCGCTCGAGGTTTTGGGGATTTGGGCTGAAATCTGGGTAGGGCTTAGAGGGTTCATGGGCTCTAAGGGGGGGTGTAGCGTTCAGTGTCTTACCGCTGGGATACTAACAGGCCTTAATCGGGATTCTAACATTAGAGTAGGGATTCTGATAGGGGCTACTATCATCCCTACTAAGGACCAGTAGCATAAGGTCAGACTTAGTGGCTATCAGAACCCCCACTCAGGCAACCAGGCCCCAGGGTTGGCGAGGCACCCTGAGCCGTCAAGGCGAAGCCCCAGGTTTAGGGTTGAGGGGTTGAGGAGTTAGGGTTTAGGGTTGAGGGGTTGAGGGTTTGAGGGTTTTCTGTATCCAACGGTGCGTTGCATGACTATGAGGCAGCACAGGCATCCTGCAAAACAAGCAGAGGCTCCAACTGCACTTTCATGAGCGAAAAAATCCACGAAACGTAATCCAGGGGCCATAAAAAACTACAATAGGGTTTAGGGGGGCTATTGTAGTACAATATGTAGGAGCCATAAGGGAACACTATGAGTAATTCTTCCGATCCCTTAGAGCCTCAGGGTGCAAGGCTCGGCCTCTGCGGACTTCCACTGAGCTCACGGCAGGCAGAGGCTTGCCCATGCTCGGCAGACAAAGCTTGCTCCCCCGTGCTCCGGCATGTAGGAGATGATCTGGCGGGATGGCGCCGTCGGCGGGCGGAGAAAATTTCTTGAAGTTGTCTCTAAAACAATCGACCGAGCCCTGAGTCCGCCAAGCCATCGCATCATTAAGATCCCACGCCAGACGTCTCACACGTGCTCAAGGACCCAATTTTCGGGCAGAGTTGCGAACTCCTTCTGGAGCTGCTACAAGGCAGCGGGTTTTCCTCAACTTGGAAACTGTGCTGTTATGCCACCCAGGCCGAGAGAAGGTAGGCTCAGCCCCAGGCTCTTACGCATCCTAAACCCGACAAAGGGCAAGGGGCAGCTTTGGGTCCCGATTGGAATGCCATTTTAGGGTGTAATATAGGGGCCTTCAGAATTAGAATAGGGTTTGGGGGGGATTTCTAGTAGGAATACAAAAGGACCCTAAGGGAGTACTACTAGTAATTCTCCCGACCCTATATTTTAGTGGCTTTTTGGGATGATAAGGCCTTTTGGAGTTTCCGGAATGATCACTGGATCCCCACCTCAGCCGCGACCCAGTCTGGTAGACGAGTGCTGGTCTGGCTGTAGCCGGACTGAGGCAGCAAATCCCTGCCCAAAGGGATGCTGGATTTAGGGTTTAGGGTTTAGGGTTTAGGGATGCTGGATTCCGCCAGGGCCTAACGATCGAGTTTGGGGGCTTTTGGGGCTTCAGACGGGCTGAGGGTCGAGGGTCGAGGGTCTAGGGTCTAGGGTTTAGGGTTTAGGGTTTAGGGCTGAGGGTCTAGGTGAGTGGGCAAGGGGTAAAGTTTGGCTGAACCAAGTGCCCCAAGTAGTTAGCTCCCTCTGTTGAAGAAAGCCGAGTCCTGATGGCCAGCCGCAACAGGGCATGTACCTGTCAGGAGCTGGAGCAGGGGCTTGAGGACTTAGCAAGCCGAGTTTTACTGCACGGCTTACAGCTTCAATTCTTCATTCTTTGTTTGGGGGCAAGGGAGGTGCAACCCTAAACCCTAAACCCTACACCCTAAACCCTAAACCCTCTGCATAACTTTCTTGCCGGATGATGGGGCGCATCTTTGAACAACTTGGGCTCTGCTTTCAAGGGGGTGCACCCTCGGACCATGAGGACTGAGGTGTTTTCTTTTGGGGCTTTCGGGTAGTATTTAGGGTTTAGGGTTTAGGGTTTAGGGCCTAGGGTTTAGGGCTGCTCTCGTTCATGCTACTGCCTGAAAACCTCCCCGAAACAAGGATGCCCGTTCTAGCACTGCGCTTGGAACCCCTGCAACAAGGTCAACTCTCAGTACCAAAAAGAAAAAGCAAACCTTATTAAGCCCTATTCCCTACAAACCCTAAGCCCAGCTGTTGTCACGCATCTTCAGGGTAGTTGCATGGTCCCTAAATATGGGCCCATCCAGCAACTCCAGCACTGCCAACAAAGCTCCTTCACCTTGTGTCGATGAAGGTTGTTGTGGCTGGCCATCTGTCCAGCCAGATCAGCCAATCGATCCACCTTAAATTTGCTCCGAGCAGAACTACCCTTTGCAGGCGTGTGCCGAAACCATTTAGGTGGTACCGGGGCGCCAAAATCACTGAGGATGTGGAACCATCTCAGGAGCTTGCCTCTATCTACAACCTCAGTGCAATTTGATAAAGGAAACGAACAGGAACGGCCTTGATGGCCCCTTTGGTTCAGCTTCCAAGACCTGTCCTTCATCGAGATGTTCTAGTTCTGCTTTCAGCATGACTTTCGCCCAGTCACGGACCTCCTCCACTCCAAACTGCCGGATCTCGTCAGCTATCTTTTGCAGCCACGCGGAGCCTCTCTCACCTCATCCTTCGCATCCTTCGGTGAAGCTGCTGAAGCCTTGTCATCTTCAGGAGCGTAGGCTTCAGCCTCGCTCGCAGCCTTGCATGCAGAGAGCGCCTTGTGGGCCCAGAAGCAGGAATTGACGTTGGAAAGGGCACGGCCCGGGCTCCAACCAAAGCCCATGCTGTCCTCGTTGCTCGCTGTTAGTTCGCCTCGGCTTCCTGCCGAGAAGCGTCTGGAACAAGCAGACCCGGATCGGGCCTCCTCACCCCCCCCACCCCCCACCCCCCCCCCCCCACCCCCTCCCCACCCCCCCCCCCACCCCCCCCCCACCCCCCCCCCCCCCCCCCCCCCACCCCCCCCCCCCTTCTTTGACCCCTCTGCCCTTCCTCCCCTTTTTTTGCGAAACCCTCTTTCCTCCTTTCCTGTCCTGGGGCCGGCCCGGCTGCCGAGGCGGCGCGCGCAAGCGTTTACAATTACCAAGCTCGAGCAATATGGGCCCAAAAACGGCGACCCCTTTTACACGCCTTGTATACCCAGCAAAACCCAAGGGCCGATACTTCAGAATTAAACCCCAGTTAAGCCCTAAACCCTAAACCCGAAAATGGTTGAAGAGACCATATTGAAGGGGCAGTTGCATGGCATGGTCGAAGGTTAGACTTCGGCTTGTTAGGATCAAGCCTCGCGGACCGCTGTCAGCGCCTGGCTTCGCTGGACCTGGTTTTAATCGCTCACACTCGGACAAGCCAGGTGGACCTGGTTTTAGGGTTTAGGGTTTAGGCCTAGCTGACCCCTCAAGGAGCCATGTGGACGGAGACGATCAAGGAAAAAGACAGGAAGATTTACGAAAGTCCCTCGAGTGTCGCAGGGTTTTTTGGCACCCGCATAGCTGGACGAACAGGGTTTAGGGATTGGGATTTTCGGGTTTGGGAGCAGAGATTTCTGAAGGGATCTGGGCAGGTATAGCAAGTGCCAGTCTGGATGGTGCTTGCAAGGCAAATTTCCCAGCCGGTCCTTCCCAACCTCATCCCCTCATCCCAGTGACTTCTCGACAAGCACGTTGCGCAGGCTACTACTTAGTAGCTAAGGCCGGCGTAGTTGGTCCTTCCAACCCGGAAGCGACCCTCACTTGCTCAACCCTAAACCCTAAACCCTAAACTCTAAACCCTAAACCCTAAACCCTAAACCCTAAACCCTAACCCACCCCACCTCCTGCGCCGACTCTGCACCTAGAGCTGCCCGGCTGGCGCGGTCGGCGAAAGCCATAGAGCAAAGAGTCTCCTCCGCTTTTGCAGTTTACTTGGCTGCACTCAGGAGGGTAGCTATAAATAAAACTTTTGGCTGCCTTAATAAGAAACCCAATAAACCCAAAAAAGGTAAGGATCTAAAGTTACAGTAAAGTACCACAAAGTCTATACCCTTTTGCAAACAGGCTTCGGCTCCCTAAACCCTGCACACACTTTTTTCCTAAAACCCCAGATTGGAAACCCTAACCCCTTTTCCTAACCCTAAACCCTTTTGTTCCTCAACCCCACCTTCGAAAACCTTTGCCTCGAGGCCCTCCGAGCTGCGCCCCCTACGGTTTCGACGGCTCGCACACGACGCGAGGATTAGGGCGACCCTTGGGGAGATCGACCCTGTCAATAAGGTAGCTGTTTGGAATCATGGCTAAGTACGTGCTGCACCCCGAAGCCCCTGAGCTCTGCCCCCCTAAACCGTTAACACAAACCCTTGAAACAACAAGCCACAGACAGGCCCCCGGGTAGAAGTGCGCCCGATGCCCGAGGTTGTTCGCCTGCGCATGGCGTCGCTCGGGGCCGACGCAGACGCAGAGCAGCACCCGGCCACTAGCCTTGGAGGGGTTTAGGGTTTAGGGTTTCGGGTTTAGGGTTTAGTTGGCTTGTAGACGCATTGGGGTTGGGGGCCACAGAGGGGCCCCAAGTGTGCTAAATGAGGGTGTTCCAGGTTTAGATGGGTTTTGGGTTGGGATGTTCCCCTTCTACTAACAGTCCCACTACTAAGGATTCTAACAGGTGGTACTATAAGCCCTTTTAAGGACTGTTAGCATAAGGGGGAACATCCCAAGGTTGAGGCTTTCGGGTTACTAGGTGCCCAAAACCCTAAACCCAAAACCCTAAAGGCCCTAAATCCAAAACCCAAAACCCTAGTTCCTATTTAGGTGCCTTGAAGAAGGGTTCCAGGAGCCGCGTGAGGAGACAGGAGCGGTAGGGCAGGTGGTTGGCCTTGTGCCTGGCAGGCAAAGGCAGTATGCTTGGAGGTTCAGGGGTAGGGTTTAGGGTTTGGGGTTTGGGGTTTGGGGTTTGGGGTTTGGGGTTTGGGGTTTAGGGTTTAGGGTTTAGGGTTTAGTGTTACTTATATCCCCTATTATACGACTTCTAACCTACTTGAGGACTTAGCGGGGCTGTAGTTGGGTTGTGAGTACCCGGAGCCTCCAAGTCTTAGGGAACCTTGAGCCTCTGTCAGCCACATCCCCTTCAAGAGACACCTGTGTCACCTATGGCTTAGGGCATCAAAGAGGCCCATGATTTAGAGAAGCCCCGAGTTAAGACGGTGTCTGAGACATCCGGGCATGCGCCACGCCTTACCCCAATAGTGGCCTGAAGCAGAAGTCAGAATTCCTGAGATCTCCCACTCTGCATGTTGGTAACGTGGTTAAGCAGCCTTCCTGCAGCTTCCTCGGTGACCCTTCCCTCTGAAAACTCCTGCTACCTAAGATCCCTCTTGGACTCAATAGACTGAATGAGGGAAACCAACGATACTCCAAGGGTCTGCCTAGTCATGGGTCAGGAGCGTCTCCGCGCCCACAATCAGTAGCGTCAGCATGGCCAGTCTACATCTCCACACCCGCCCTAACCCTAAACCCTAAACCCTAAACCCTAAACCCTAAACCTTAACCCCTAACCCCCCCTCCCCTCCTTCCCTGAATCCCCTGCATGCTCTTCAGAGCCTCAGCGCGTGGATCACCGAACCCAAGCCTGACAGCCTCGGAGAGAGAGAGAGACCCTAAACACTAAACCCTAAACCCTAAAGATACAGAGATACAGAGATACAGAGAGATACAGAGATACAGCATCCGGGTTGGAGGAGTCACCCTAAAGATACAGAGATACAGAGATACAGAGATACAGAGAGATACAGAGATACAGCATCCGGGTTGGAGGAGTCAGCCTAAACTTTACAACCCAGGCTCCTCTCTTGTCAGCTGGGACCCTAAACCTTGGGATGTTCCCCATTACAGTAACCCAGTCCGTAGTAGGGATTGGAGTACCCCCTATCATAATCCCTCTCAGGGGCTGTTAGTGAGCACAAGGGGGGACATCCTAGCCCTAAACCCTAAACCCTAACCCCCAAACCCTAAACCCTAAACCCTAAACCCTAAGCCCTAAGTGTAAGGGGGAACATCCCAAGGCCTAAGCCCCCCAAAAGCCTGAAACCACCCGAGCCCTGCGGCGAGAGGTTGATGTGGCGGCTCTCTTCGGCGATGGGACCAGCAGCCTGGCTGTGGAGCGTCACCGGGGCTATACTTCCAGGGATGGGGGGAGGGGAGGGAGGGGGTTTAGGGTTTAGGGTTTAGAGGGTAGTTCTCAAAATTCGGGTGCTTTTTTCGGGGTCCTGGTTCTAAGGGTGTCGTATCTTAGGTTTAGGGTTTGGGGCCTTGCCCATGAATGGTCTCTATGCGGACCCCCCGTCTCAAGGCCGCAGCGTCCCTGGCATCCTACAGCGCCCCGCCAAGTCCCAACCTCGAAAGTCCCTTTTTATAGGGCCCGTGCCTGGGAACCTGCACAATATGGGGGGGTTACGATCTTAGGGGGGTACCTTATTTCGGGTCCATCCTACTACTTGGGGTCTTTTTTAGGGGTCCTCTGTTTTCGTAAACCCTTTTAATATGGGTTTGTGGTTTAGGGTGAACCCCTAAACCGTAAGCCATGGTTCCTCTGCCCTGGCCTCGGCTGGCAGCCGCTCCGAGCCTGCCAGGTCCTCGGTTTAGGGTTTAGTAGGTTTAGGGTTTAGTAGGTTTAGTAGGTTTAGTAGGTTTAGAGGGTTTAGAGGGTCTAGAGGGTTTAGAGGGTTTAGAGGGCTTAGAGGGTTGCAATGGCAGGGATGCAGGTTTGTTTAGAGGGTTCGCTCAACATCGTCCGACAGATGTGCTGGTCCGGCCACTCGGCGCGCCTGATGCTGCAAACCCGTTTTTTTGCAATGAACTTGTAGAAATCCTAAGCCTCGAGCTCAGGACCTCCCGATACCCTATGAACCCTAAACCCTAAACCCTGAACTTGTTTTTTTTTTGAACCCAGGCTCTGCACTATCAGCTGGGCAACTGGCATGACCCTGAACCCTAAACCCTAAACCCTAAACCCTAAACCCTAAACCCTAAACCCTGCAAAACACAAAAAAGGCAGCGCCCCCGCCCTCCCCAGATTCGGGGTCCACGAAGGCGATCCGCAGGGCGGGTTCAAGGCCTGGGCTGGGACGAGGCTTTGGGGTTTAGGGTTAGGGGTTAGGGGTTAGGGTTTAGGGTTTAGGGTTTAGGGTTTAGGGTTAGTTAGGGTTTAGGGGTTTAGGGTTTAGGGTTTAGGGTTAGGTTAGGGGTTTAGGGGTTTAGGGGTTTAGGGGGTTTAGGGGGTTTTGGGGTTTTGGGGGTTTAGGGGTTTAAGGGTTTAGGGGTTTAGGGCTTAGGGTCCCAGCTTAAGGGAAAGGGCCGAGCCCAAGCTCAACCCTTGTGCCGGGTTCAAAGCGTTGCCTCAACTAAGGGGTACAAGGAGGGACCCCCAGAAGGGACCCTTCATCTTATTCCCCTATATAACTCCGATACATACCGCATACCGTCCCTATATACCTAAGTAGCCCCTGAATAATGGCCCTTAAAGAACCCCTAAGGTCCCTCAAAAGGGTCCCGGCTGGAGTCCCTTACTCAACACGCGGGCAGCTGCACAAATTGCTGTCTGGGCCCGCCGCCCTGAGCAGATCCAGGAATCGTTGCGTGGACCAGGACCTCAAGTGAGCGCCCACCCATCCTATGCTTGAGACGGCCCCCACCCTGAACCCCAAACATGGATGGCATGTTTACGACGTACGAACAATAGGGATCGTGGAATAGGTTCTTGGTTTTGGAAACCTTGGGGTTATAGGGTTTAGGGAGGGGTTTAGGGTTGCGAGTTTTCGAATTCAAGGAGGTTGAAGGGAAAAGACAAAAACATTCCAAGAGATTGGAAGAGAAGGAGGAAGGGCTTGAACCGGTATTCTTAAAGAGAGAGACCAGCCACAACAACATAAAAGAAACAACAGATGGCCTCCCCTTGAGACTTTAAGCCAGCACCTTGTCCACGATGTACGCGAACCAGCTAGCAGAATGTCTTGCTTCGTCATGGCAGGTACTGTTTCATGGTGGGGGGCCTCAGTTGCTGCCCTGTTTCAGCCAGGGCTCGAACTAGCGAGCCCCTTGGGGTTTGAGACCTTGCCATTTGTGGGAGGCTCCATAGATTAGGATCCCCCGAAAAGACCCTAAACCCTGAACCCAAAACCCGTTCTGGCGCTCTCATGAAACCCATGGCCCGGGATATGGAGGGTATTTACCAAGGAAGGGACCAAGGATGTCCAGCGTTTAGAGCTGACCGTGGGTTGATCTCAAAGGCGCATCCTTATTTGGGCCCTAGCACCATGTAGCTACGGTACCGAAAAGTAGTGTCAGTATATAATAAATATATATATACATATGTATTATGCATATGCAAGATAGGTAGATAATCCTTAATGTTTGCCCTCAGCCCGCTTCTTCATAAACCCTGAAACATGGCTCAGGTTTGTGCGAGGCTGTGTGAGCGGCTGCTGGTTGCATTGAAGCACCTGGAGAGGTGGCGGCGCGAAACGGCTCAACTCGCTTTTGCGATGAGCCCTTTCCGTAGAGAAAGCCCTGACCATTGCGGGCACACACTGTTCACACGAGCCTTCGTCACACATAACTCTCAAAGCGCGATATGGTGACGACTTGAAAAACGGCTCAAGTTTAGGGCTTTGGGTGTGGAAGTTTAGAATTCAGGATTTAGGTTTGAGGCAAGGGCCACTAGCAAACACGTAAAATTAAACTGAGGCTGGAGCACATTCAGGAAGGCTGCCTCGGGTTCTACTGGTTTAGCATGCAGCTGGGGTTCAAGGCTATAAGTTCTGCTGTGAACGTCTGCTTGGTACTATCTTTGATTGTCCCCAGGCACGCCTATACATCTTTAGATCCCGACTAGCTCAGCGCAACCTTCTCTCTCCCTCTCGAGTCGGAGAAGTAGCTCTCTCTGGCACTGGCAAGCTCTGTCCGTCAGATCAGATGCATGGCCTTGAACCTTAGACTCTGTACCTCTGCAATCTTTAGCACCAGAACTGAAGCTCCTGGGTTACCCGGCGTGCTTCTGGTGCTGCGACGCTCGGCGGCTTGTTCTAGCAGCTCCTCTGCGTCCTCCCCACCAGTTTGCCCAGTAACCATGAACGAATGCACGCCCACTCTCTCTCTCTCTCTCTCTCTTTCATGCACACACCTCTCTAGAGTAAGTATGTTTCTACAAGTAAGTATAAGCATAAAGACACATGTGTATTTACACAAAGACTCATATTGTTTTACTATACATAGTAGAAGATGAAGGCGAAGAATAATATGAACCACAAAACTTCGCGTGCAAACAGGATCATCAGCAGCTGCCTCGTTTCGATCCTGCGTTCACTGCATAAAACAACCTAGCATACCACAACATAACATGTGCAAAGGATTGCCAAATAAGCTTAAATATGACTTCCTTATAATGTAGCAGTATATGTATAATATATATATATATATATACACATGCAAATAGAATAGAATAGAATAACAATCCACAATTCTTACTTATCATATTTATGATGGCGATGGTTATTAGCTTAACATTCTACCACATGGTATAACATAACCGGTGACATATCTCATATGATACTGTGGTCACACTGTGGTCTATAATTCGCACGCATCGTTTCGTATTTGGTACTGTGCATAATGCATTAGATCATGTGGTATTTCTTCTTTAAAAGATCATATCATATCAATATAACATATTCGGAAATGAACTGCATGAGCACGAGAAACCATGCAGCATATGATGTAAGAAGATGTTGATGTCTTCATTTTGCACATATCTAGAAGACACCACAGATCACATACTCTTGCTTCTGCACCTAGGATCCGTAGGATCCGTACTCGGAGATTAGGGCTTGAAGGGGTTAGGGTTGGCCTGCAACTCGAAAACTTGGCTACAGTGAAGTAGCAACTACCTCGTACTGCATGAAGCTGTAGGTGAATACAGTTTCAGGTAGGGTTGAGGGTTGAGGGTTTCGGCCAGCGGCACCCATCCTCAATAGCTGCCACCTCGATGGAGGTCGCCTGCTTCAGGATCGTTTGTGGGCCATAACCGAACACAGCTTAAGAAGCATCTCGCCCTGCTCCCTCTTGCGTGGAAGGAACCCTAGAACGCTAGAAGCATCAAGTCTCCGCGAGCTCTTTCCAGCACGCGCAGCTCTAAAGCATCCTTATAAGCCCTGAAGCCTCCAAAGCAGCAAAACAACCGAAAGCCTGATACACCAAAGCCACAACTTCCCATCCATCGGCTCCGAAACCAACCGCGAAACCCTCAAGCGCCCCACATTCAAAGACCGACCCTGAACCCTAAATCCCAAAAGCCCACAAGAGCAGCACTTGAACTCCCAAACCCCAAGCAAAACCTCAAAGAGCCGGCTACGAGTCGGGTCAACAGGGAAAGAACGCCTGCTCCAATGCCACGCGGCAACCGTGTCTGAAGCTCAACCCAGGCGGGGGCGCAAGGCGCCCGGCTGAGAAGGCACGGCCTGGGTTTAGGGTTTAGGGTTAGGGTTTAGGGTTTAGAGTTTAGGGTTTAGGGTTTAGTTTTTTGTTTTTTTGCCTTTAGGGCGGAGGGTTTCGTGCATCGCAGAGTAAGGATGAAGCAGCAATGGAAACCACCAGCGAGGATGCGCTCCAGATGCTTCTTCTCCATGCATGCTCGGCTTGGCTGCACTCAGGAGGGTAGCTAAAAATTAAACTTCTAGCTGCCTGAGTAAGAAACCCAATTCACCCAAAAAGGGTAAGGATCTAAAGTCACAGTAAACTACCACAAAGTCGGGGACTCTGGGATTCAAGGTCCATAAGCCCGCAGCAACCCTTGTGCATCCGGGCTCTGAAGCAACCCTTTTGTGAACCCAATCTTGGACAAGCTTGCTAGGAAAGCTGCAAACCCAGTTGTTCTTTGGCTTTGCTTAGGCGACCCTAAGGGAGTAGGATTCAGGAAGCCCAAAAACCCTCCAACTCGCAAATCCTAACCCTATGCTTCCAGGGATCAAATTAGGTTACCCCTAAATAACTTTGGCAGCCCAGTAGCCATATTCTGATAAGGGCACCTTTTTTTGGGTTGGCTACGTTAAAAGGGAACCCAGAACCCAAAAAACGGGTAAAGGGCACCACTGGGCTTCCAAGTACCCCGAATGTTGCTAGAGGGACACCTGCAGGCGCGCGACCCGATGGCTCGTTTGCAGCCTCGCTGGCAGACCCCGAGCCGTCGAGGAGGTCGTAACTGCAGAGGGGTTTAGGGTTTAGGGTTTAGGGTTTAGGGTTTAGGGTTTAGGGTTTAGGGTTTAGGGTTTAGGGGGGGGGGGGGGGGGGTGAGGGAGGTTAGAACTTCTTGTTTGGGGCTTCTTTTTTTGGGGGGGAGAGTAGGTAGTTTGCTGTTGCTCCAGTTTTACATTGTTTGCTCAGGCGCATGCTTGTTTTTTTGCGCGTGTCATCTTTGCACAGTTCGCGAAGGAGGAATTGGCTTAGAGTTCAGGGGCCTATCAGGGGAAGATTGCCTGCGGCCAAGATTTGCGCGCCCCCGGTAGGAGCACTGGCTCTTCGGGTTTCCTTTTTAAAGTCAACCTGAGCTCTCATGTGATGGCCGCGAGCATGTGGGGGTTGTTCGACATTAGCGCCCATTTTTGGTCACATAAACTGCTTTGGACATATACCGGAAAACCGGAATCCCAAACCATTTCTAGATACAACCCGGGAAAACACCAGGCAAGTCAGTCAGGGCCTACCCAAGGCCCTATCTTCCCAACCCTTTTCTCAGTTCTAAAGGCCCGTTACACCTGGCAGCTAAGGCACGCCGTGTCATTGTAGATCTCCACTGCGCTCAGGGACACGGTGGCCCCGCCTGTCCCACGCTTAGGCTTTAGGGCTTAGGGGGCTTCAGGCTCCCGCAGATTGGGTGGTAGTAAGCTTGCGAACCCAGCAGATTCTACCCTAAACCCTAAACCCTAAACCCTAAACCCTAAACCCTAAACCCTAAATTCTGCATTTTGGTGCCCCCAAACAAGCGATTTCGTGTCCGGGGGAGCTGAGGTCGATGGATATTGATTGCACGAGGAGGCCTACTGCTTCCATCAGCCGAAGTGGCCTCTCCCCCCATACCAGCATGGGTATTTAGGGTTTAGGGTTTAGGGTTTAGGGTTTAGGGTTTAGGGTTTAAGGTATTAGGCCTTATAATCCCCTAACCAACCATATAAAGGGTCTTTTTGAGAGGTAAAAGGGTATAATAGCCCACGTAGGTACAGCCCAGAAAGGGCTCTTGGCTATCTAGGGTTAACGTGGCGCTACCCGAAGAACCGATTGCAAAACGCAAGGACTGAACTTCCGCCCCTGCGTCACTCAACACCAGCGCCCATCAACGTCCGTACTGTCACTGAGCGATTTAACCTCACACATCAGGGTCCCCTTTTATCGAGACCCTAAATCATAGGGGCCCGCAGAACCCTTTTTACCCTTAACCCTTAACCCCTGATCTTGATCCAAAGGGATCCGAATCTAGAGAATGACCACTGAAGCGCTTTGCCGGTAACAACTTCGTGCTGGGCACCGCGCTCGCGCTGGCCAGCGAAAAGACCTCTCAGGTGGCGCTCAAGGTTAACAAGGGTTTAGGGTATGGGGGTTTTTGTCCACGTCGAGCCATGCTCCTAGGGTTTAGGGTTTGGGGTTTTGGGTCAGCACCACCGCAACCCCTACAATGGAATTCGTCATCTGAGGAAGAGTGACAGGACTGATGATGCTGACTGCTCGCCACATTCTTCTAGCATGAGTAATTACATGAAGCATACCCGTACTGTTAAAGCAAAACAAGGATAAGTCAACAGACATATACAATATAACATCTGGAGATGAAATATACATCTAAATAATCTGACACATTTCGTGGTGTACGCAGTAACGAAAAAACGCAAACAAATGCAATTCGCGATGCTGATGATGATGCTGGGTTTAGTCGCAATGGCTATTGACATTGCCACAGCAATACTACCAGTTAAAACAGTATAATATCCCCTTTTGGGGGCTGGGGCATCCCCATGGCTGAACGAGCCGTGCTTAGGGGTTTTTTTCGCTTTGGGGTTTGTAGTTAAGGGTCCAGCCCAAGAAGCCCTCACTCTGCACCCCAGAGCCTCAAAGAGCACGCGTGGGACCAGCCCCCTCTGATCGCCAGCTCCTGTGCTGCCAGGAGATTAAATTTTGCACCAGGCAGCAAAACGCCCCAACCATCCCCAAACCCTCAACCCTGCCCTCATGGTGCCTGGATACGGGGCACTGGGACTAGGCGTGTGAAGCTGGCTGGCATTTGGTGTGCATCGCGATGCTCGACTAGCACCTAGATTTCCGGGATTCCTATGATCTTGCACTATGCTCCAAGAGGGCTACCTGGGCCTTGGGTAGTTTGGGTGGGGGTACGTAGATTAAACAGCAAAGGACGTGTCGGCATAACAGGAATAGGAATCTGCATAAGTCAGGTAAGTTCATGTAGGGCATTCACCGGTAGTTGTGGCGAGGAAATGTCATAAGTCACAAGTCTCAGCAACAGGGAACAGTTTAATCATGGTTATTAGGGTTAAAGTTTTCGGTTTGGGGCTTACAGGGCTGGCTAACTTGCACAAGCTACTGTTGGTGCGCCCTCACCGAAACGCATACATTGTGCAACCTAGCAAGCAACAATGATACCGCAAATTCCCGATCACGTGCCAATGCCCGAAGCGACACCCTGTGTTCAAGTGGCAGCTGACCTCCCAGATTGGGACCTTTGTTGTCCAGGTAAGGTCCGATTCAAGTTAGAATGGGTGTGCTTTGGGCAGTTGATTACAATCAAAAGTGATTGGAAAGGAAAAAATCTGATAACTTGACGTGGCTTCTGCATTGAAGTGCACTTCTGTATGGCGGTGCCATTCCCAGCCCTGCAGCCCCTGTCCAGCCAGTCCTCCGTGCATGGTGAAAGTCTTCCCAGAACCTGCAGGAGGCTTCTCCCGGTGGTCTCGACAGCCCAAAGTTGTAGAAACTCTCGGATTCCACCTAAACCACCTAAACCCAGTGCTTTTCTACAACCTGCGCCTCCGTCCCCGTGAAAAATTGGGGCATCGACCCTCACACTCGCACAAAGGCAGGCTAGGCTTCGGGTCTAGAGGCGGAAACAACAGATTGAACAAACGTGGGTGGAAGTGATGAGGGTCAGGAGGAACCTAGCAATAACAAAGGGTGCCCTGTTTGGAAAAAAGGGGTTTGGAAGGCAACCAAAAAAAGGCCCCCCCCAAAAAAAGAGGGGGAATGTGGGCCTACTCTAGGGAAAGGTCCGGAGCAAGTAGCAGGTTAAACCTCAGGCTGCTCCACCCTAAACCCTAACCCTAAACCCTAATCCCTAAGCCCCTAAACCCTAAACCCTAAATCCTAAATTCTCAGGCATATCGAGTCAATAGTCCTGGCCTGTCTGGCCATAGGCGAGGATACAGGCAGACCTGGGGGTTTCCGAAATTAGGGGGTACCTCAGTGGGGGCCTGGGAATCCTGCTATTTTGGAATTCTGTATTAGGGGCCGGTCGCTCATTTCGTAAACCCCGACCTGACACGATGCCGGTTTAGCTTTCTCGGGTTCACAACAGTGAATTCGCGAGCGGATGTTAGTTCTGAACTGTACCAATTTAGTCATCCAGGCCGGACGCTCCAACGCAAGATCGTTTCGGGCCTCTGCCTGGCCCTGGCATTGCCTGCACGGGGTCTCTCGAGGACCATTTCACGGTCGCAGCAACCTGTCACCCATGGTGGGGGATACCTTGTTTTGCAGCTTTTGGTAGAGGGGATTCTATACCCTGAGCCCTAAACCCTCTCTCTCTCTCTCTCTCACAGGCCTAAACCCTAAACCCTAAATCCTATACCCTGAGCCCTAGTTTAAATCCGAAATGAAGTAGGCATCCTCCCAAACCCAGCCGCTGCTGACCGTGCTCAGATGCCCGCTGCGGAGGTCCTGCCAGACCACCTCGCAGCCATGCACGGGGCCAGGATGGGGCGACGTGGCAAATAGAAGTTGGTTATAGGGTTTAGGGTTTAAAGGTTAAAGGGTTCAGGGCTTAGGGTTTAGGGTTTCGGGTAGGGGGGCTTTCAGGGCGTAGCTTCGAGACTGCTTCAAGGCATCGAAGCACTGCAGCTGCCAGAGACCCTGCACCCTGTCGGCTTGTATCTTATGCGTACACCCCGGTTTAGGGCTTAGGGTTCAGGGTTTAGGCCCGAAATCCCACACGTCACAGAGCCGGCGACCTGAGCAGAAAACCTCAGATCTCCCCTGATCTCAACCTTGAGCCGAAGCAGCCCCACAAGCGCAAAACTCTGAGCCCTTCCTGAACCCTGGACCCCTTCTTGCAACAAGGACTCGACGCCGATGCGCCCACACACAAGACAGAAACTCCAAACCCTTAAACCCTACAAAGCCTAAACCCTAAACCCTAAACCCTAAACCCTAAACCCTAAACCCTAAACCCTAAACCCTAAACCCTACAAAGCCTAAACCCTAAACCCTAAACCCTAAACCATCCGAAGCCCCCCTAAACCCTAAACCCTAAACCATCTGAAGCCCCCCTAAACCCTAAACCCTAAACCCTAAACCCTAAACCCTACACACCTGGAGTCGCAGCGGGCATCATGGCGCGCAGCTCTTCGAAGACTTGGTCCTGATCCTGCTCCGCTTGGAGGCTGGGCCTTCTTGGATTCTCATGGGCCGTTCAACCTGGGGATTGATGAACTACCCTAAACCCTAAACCCTAAACCCTCAACCCTAAACCCTAAACCCTAACGCTCCTAAACAGGAACTCGTGCAAAACTGCAAAACACGGCATCTTCTCAAGGTCAGGCTTGGGCGTGGCTTTCATTGTGGCCCAGGGCTTCAGGTGGAGAGTTCGGTGGTCCAAGCGGGTTTTAGGGTTTAGGGTTTAAGGTTTCTGCAGCACTGTTTAGGTTTAGGGTGCTTTTTTGGCTGGCTCGGCTGCTTCGCACTGCTGGGGCCAAGCGTTTGTCGTACGAGAAACAGCAAAAGGGGATGGTCGCACTACGGGGCCTGGGAATGATTGCCAAGGGTCTTCCTGAAATTCATGAAGGCCGTCCCGTGACGCAAGGGTGTGGGTTTAGGGTTTAGGGTTCGGGGTTTAGGGTTTAAGGTTTGAGTTCTGCATTTAGGCCCGGAATCAGGGTTTCGGGCCCAACCCTAAACCCTAAACCCTTTTGCAAATGGACTCCTTGCTGCAAACCCTAAACCCTAAACCCTAAACCCTAAACCCTAAACCCTAAACCCTAAACCCTAAACCCTAAACCCGCAAACGCTGGAGGTCCATGTCTGGACTGAGCACGTAGTCAAGGCGCTTGAAGCTGTGGACTTCCTACGGTCGCTTCGGATTGCCGGCAATGTTCCCGCATGCCCTACTAAGAATGTTTAGGGTGTAGGGTTTAGGGTTTAGGGTTGAGGGTTTAGGGCCAGTACTATAGGGGAGAAATCTTAGAACAAGGTTTTGGGGGGTTATTGCAGTGTAAATATAAAGGGACTCTATAAGGGAATATTATTAGTCCTATATTCCGACCCCAAAATTAGGTTCATCTGCAAGAGAGCTGCATCAGCACCAAGTCGGCCGCCACGACGTGGCACCGACACCTCTGCGCACGGCATCCGTCCGAGGGGCGTTGAGATCCGCGCAAGGGGGGCTTAAGTATGGGATTCAGCAGAATGGTTTAGGGTTTAGGGTTTAGGGTTTAGGATTTAGGGTGTAGGGTTCAGGGTTTAGGGTTTAGGGTTTAGGGTGGTTTCAGAAGGGCTTTTGCGATGAAGGGGGCCTCGTGGGATTCTGGGAAAGTCGGGGCTGGTTTCTGCCAGAACTCAACGTCTGCACTGCTGCCGTCTCCTCTGCCGTTCCTCTGCTCGGAACGGCGCCAATCCCCCTGGTCCACAACTCCAAACGAAGCTCTTTTTTGAACCCGTACTGAGGCCGAGGCGGCAAACCAAGCCCTGAACTCTGATTTGCGACGCCAGCACCCAAATCCTAAACCACACTTTCGACAAAATTCCTTCAGCGCATCACGCTGCCAAGTCGACGCCGTTTGAGGAAAGCCCCTCCCCTGAACCCCATGGCCCAGTAAACCCTAGAATCCTTTTTTGCAGAACCCTAAACCCTGAAAAACCCTAAACCCTAAACCCTGAGCCCTGAGCCCCAAACCGCCACAAACCTTAAGCTAAGCCCGGGCGCGGTCAGCCCGCGGTGCTTGGAGGCGCCAGAGATCACCCCCACGGCCTTAGGGTCAGGGCTTCCGAGGGCTTTAGTAGGGTTTCGCCCGCTTGTGCTTGCACTAGGAAGGGTTAGGGTTTAGGGTTTAGGGTTTAGGGTTTAGGGTTTAGGGTTTAGGGTTTAGGGTTTAGGGTTTAGGGTTTAGGGTTTAGGGTTTAGGGTTTAGGGTTTAGGGTTGGATTGGAGCTTGTCAGGGCCTCACCGCATCTCAGCCGCGGTCGTGACCGCATCCTGGCCTGGCGGGCCTAGCGATGCGGCCCACTGTTCCACCTGTCGCCAAGTACTGGCACAGCCTGTGCTACAATGAAGAAAACGCTCGCCCAACCCTAAACCCCGAACCCTAGGGTCCCACAGTGCATTCCTTGGCGCGCGGCGGAGTCTTCGCCTTCGTTGGCAGAATTGGGCCGACCTGGCGACGTTTGACGAACTAACAAAGCGGTAAAAGTACGGTGTTGACTACGGCTGCATGGCCATCAAAGCTCCCCACCCTTCATGCACGGCTGCAGCAGAATATGCCAGATCCTATACAGGCTCGCCTCAAACCTGTCAGACGGCGCTCCCCCACCCATGAGCACAGCCCACAGCCTGAGGGTGGGCGTACCCGCACCACAACCTTGGCTGCGCACAGGTTTGTGCGGGGTTCGATGGGCTGAAGGGGTCCAAGGGAACCATTTGCTTCTGGGTTTGTCAGCCCACGGGGAGCCCTCCTCTCTTGAGAAGTCGAGGCCGCGCAGCGTACACCGCGCACTCATGTAGCTAAGTGATCCCACCTCAGCCACCCTAGTGAGGTTAAGGTTCGACCCCCAACCACCCTCATAACGGGGGCTTCTTTTTCTCACCCAATCGTCTTGCAAACGATTGCAAACTCCACACCGAAACCATAAGTTCTAAAAAACCCGAAACTCTAACCCCTAAAAACCCTAACCCAACCCGAAACCCAAACCTCGACGTGGGCTCTGGAAAGCCCTGGCAGGCACTTGAGGGGAGTCTGGGGAGGATTTAGGGTTTAGGGAGGCCCATGTGCAGGGCCAGCAGCACTTTCGCCAGTTTGGCGTTGAAGGTGAAAATCTCTAAACCCGAAACTCCAAACCCGAAGACTCTTTTTGAAGGCCTATCCTCGCCAAACCGGACTCTAAATTGTAAACCGGGCTCTGCGCCATTTCTGCAGAAAAGTGCAGACGCTAGTATTCCCTCCTGAACTCCCTTGGATCCCCAAAAGCCCCTACATTCTTCAACCCTTTTTTCCCCTAGACCCTACTCTCATGTTTTGCATCCTGGCCTGTTAATATCCAGGCCTGGTGACGAATGCCGGGTAAGCACACTGCGAAGCGATACTGTATGAGCAGCACTCGTGGCTATGAGTATGTCTTGGGAGAAGCTTTGAAACACGGAATCGCACATCCTCTGAAGATCATAGCAAGAAGATTCATATTCTCTCTGAACCCTAAACCCTAAACCCTAAAACCCTGAACCATAAACCCCGAAACCACGCAACCCGAAACCACGGAAAGACGGGGAGCGCGGATGGTGCCGCTGCGCTGCTGCCACTGTGTGAGCCTCAGTAGGTCTCAGTACGTTCGGCTTCAAAGGTCCGGGGGGTTCAGGGCTTCTGGGTTTAGAGTTCCCCTTCTGGCACGTTGATGTGCCCCGAAAGGACAGAGGTGGTGTTGCCTCTTCTTCTTTTTGATAGTGTTTTCGGTTGAGGGGGGGCTTCAGGACAGAGACTTTGCGACTTTGATGCCAGTGATTTCGGGCTTGCCCCACCCCGATAAATACCGCATACCCTTAGTCTGGAACAACACCCATTTCCGTTTTAAACGTTGTGGGCTTTCGGGTTCAATTAGAGAGACTGCCGCTACCGTCAACTTCCCACCCTTGCAGAGCCACGGTCTTTTCTCCGCCGGTGGATGCGCAGATCCGCCTCCAGGGCAACACGAAGACAGGTGGCGCGCGGCGCCGCCCCAGACCCCTGGGAGGATCAAAAAATAGAACCCCCAAATGGTACCCTGTACTACTATTGCGTCATTCTTAGGAACCCTTAAGGGGATCCATTTTTTTGATCCTCCCAGGGGTCTGGGGCACTGGGGCCCTGCAGTGGTGAGCAGCCTGAACCACGCGACCGTGGGGGAGAAGATGTCTGCAGGGCGAGGGGGTGGCTGCGAAAGGTGTCCCAGGCACGCCTCCTGAGAGATGTTCGCCGGCTTAGGGCGGTTTGGGACTCTAGGGTCTTCACAGCAGCTCTCCAACCTCCCTCAGCTTGTACTCTGTCGAAATGGATCCAGCGGCATGTCATACCCCGGTAGGTAGCGGTGTGGTTGACGTGTTCCAGGTCTTCCTGAAAAACCGGAAACACATAGAAACTGGTTCAAGCTTCTGTCAACTAACCCCACAGCCTACAATGTAGGCCCACAACCAAAGCCCAAAATATGCCAAATCTCCCCCCCCCCTCCCCTTCCCAAAAAAACCAAGAAAAAACAACCGCCCCAACAAACTTCCGCGAACTCACCAAGACACTGATGAAAAAATAAAAGCCCCTTCGTGGTTGCCGCAGCCCCAGGCGCTCAACACCAAATCCAACGCAAGAACCCTCAAACATCTCCAAACTGAAGCTGCAAAACTGCTACGGCTGCTGCAGGATTTAGAGTTTAGAGTTTCGGGATTACATCCCAGCCCCCTGTCCTCCTTCACGACCTCCCAGATGTGAGGGTGGCGGTCGCCCCTCTCACGTGCAGCTTCCAGCGAGTAAAGCTCAACCTCGCGGTTGCCCTGGGAATGGAGAAGTAAGGGTTTCAACAGACTTCGTCGCAATTTGAGAACAACTCCAAAATGTTGCGCCGCTTAAACAGGGCATGAAACAATAGACAAGCACGAAAACGACCTCGCCCGACAAACACAACGCCCAAGCCTTACGACGTTGTTTCTGATTTGCATGTGCCAGAGTCTATGGATTATGGATTCGCATGGCTTAACCAAACTCCCGAATGTCCGTTCTCATCTTGCGCCCGTACGCAGGCCCTGTGATTCCGCTGCTTCATGAGACTTAGTTTGTGAGGTATGTTTTTTCACTCGCCCCGTCTTCTCCCGTTGAAGCCTGATTACAGCACTTCTGAACCCCCAAGCCCGAACCTAAAGACGCCAACTTTACGAAGATCCAAGCCGCTCGAGACTACAGGGCAGCAGGCCATGTGCCCATACATCTGCGTCCCCTGTTTCAGGGTTCAGGGGGCTTAAACTGAGATGAAGCAGCGTTCGAGCTAGGAGGTTGATGGAATGATTTGCAGATTTCAGCGCAGGTCGGACAAACCCGGCGAGGATTCGGCAACCCAGCACTACTTCACTTCAAACTATTCCAGGTCAGGGGAGGGGGGGGGGTTGAAATTTGTTGCCACCGTTTTCTTGGGGCCAGAATATCATCTAATTAGAGCCAGCTATTAGCGCAAACTGCCAAGCAGGCGGGATCTGCAAAAATCGGCAGAGCGCGGAAACGTGCAGCCCCAAGCTGGGTTTAGGGCTGCCTTTGCGCCAAGCTACCTTTACAAAGGGCCACTATGCAAAAATCCCCCTTGCCAAGGCAACCCTACACCCTAAACCCAAGGGCTTTGCAGGTTGTTGGGTTTAGGGCAGCGCACGAAAGATCTGAACGACTACTTGGAGGTTCATTAGGCTTTTAAAGCTACAAGTAGGGCAACCATAGCTATGCCCTTACTTCAGGTACTCCGAACCCTAAGTAGAAGTACCCATGAACCTCCAAGTAGATGCTATACTGAACTTGGAACCCTAGCAAAAATTAGGATTTTGGCCGTTTCTTAGGGTTTAGGGTTTAGGGTTTAGGGTTTAGGGTTTAGGGTTTAGGGTTTAGGGTTTATGGAACTATATATATGTATGTCTCTAAAGGTAAGGAAGGCCATCCCAAAGCTTGCGTCCTCCACCGCTGGAGGCACGCCGCAGTCGAAGGGCGGGGAGGACACATTCGCCGCCTTGCTCTACCAAATCGACCCTAAACCCTAAACCCTAAACCCTAAACCCCCCAAAAAAGCAATTTAGAAAATCCTCCGTGTAAGGGCAATAGAGGGATTCTGTGCATTTTTTAGGGGGGTTCTGAAGCAAACATGTATGAGGCTAAGGATTTTTCAATGTTTTGGAGTTTACCGGAGGCTGTTCACGTCTAGGTCAGTGTAGAACCCTACACCTTGCGCATGAAGACCAGGTAAAAGCAGCGATGCAACGCGCGATGCCTCGCAGCCCCTCTTTCGGGAGAAGATGTTGCAGGCAAGCGGCATCCCACATCAAGCCAACCTCAGGGTTGGGGTTTAGGGTTTAGGGTTTAGGGCTTAGGGCTTGGGGCTTAGGGTTTAGGGTTTAGGAACATGGAACAGAGAAAAAAGTGCTGCATGAAGCTTCTGCATAGCGTTCCAGGCGCTGGGACTGAAACCCTTCTCATCCCAAACCCCAAACCCCCAAACCCACCTAAGCCTGCGAGAAAAAGCTTAACTTGCCGGGCGGCACTGGTGCTGCGCCCGGGCCAGAGGGTCTGGAGGAAACTCCAGATCCTCGGTTTCAAGCACTTGCCATTTGCAAGTCTGCTTAGGGGTTTCTTTGAGGCCTGCCTCGTTGCTGTGGTTCAGGGTTGTCTCTTCCAGGGTCCTCTGAGCACGCTCACGCGTACCCAAACACTTGGCCTGGAATGCAAGAGCTGGAGCCATAGCACTTGGAAGCAGTGCACCTCACTAAATCGCCCTGAACAACACCATCAAACCCCATGCACTGGCCTAACAGAAGAGGAAGACGAAGACAACAGCTTTCTCAGGAGCAAGGCAACAAGCCACAACACCACAAATGGGGGCTTCCGAATTAGGGGCGGTACCTTATTGGGGTCCTTATCATAAAGGAACCCTTGGGGGTCACTATTTTCGTAACACCCCCAAATGGGTGGTTGTCAAAACTATGGTCCCTTTTGGGGGTACCCCAAATATGAGGTGCCGTGTTAGAATAGGGATCCCAAAAAGGGACCCTAATATTGACAGCCACCCAAAGATGACGCGCCAAAGCGTCTCGCGCAACGTCTCCGAGAAGGCGTCCGGCGCAGAGCCGGCGAAGTCGAAGCGGAGCATCGGCCGTGCGGCGCGCATGGCCTCGCGCCGCCTCTGCTGGATGTTTAGGGTTTAGGGTTTAGGGTTTAGGGTTTAGGGCTTAGGGCTTAGGGCTTAGGGTTTATAAGTTCTACCGTATGTTGTAGAATCTTGTGGTATATGATGGAATATGTTGGCGAAGCGATGTCCTCTGTAACCCCAAGACCCCCAAATCACCATGCGCGTCAACCTAAACCCCAAACCCTAAACCCTCTACCGGAACTCCCGGAAATCCAACCCATCTGGCGTGGGTTCGACTCTTGTGGTGTGCGCGTATGACCGTATGAGCCGATTAATGCTTCTTGCGTGCGCTTTCTCTCTCTCTCTCTCTCTCGTTCGTTCTGTCACGCGCCTGCTCCCTTCCCCCCTCAGAGTCCCGGACAAAACCCATGCGCGCGAAAACCGCAACTCAAACTCGGACCATGAACCCTAAACCCCCCCCCCCCCGGCTCAAACAACAAATTAAAGGGTCAAGAAGCTCAAAAAACTCAAAAAAAAAAAAAAAAACTAAGCCTGGTCCGGTCTGCTGGCGACAGCTGCAGGAGCCTCTCCATCAGCCGTCCGGCCTCGACCTTTCCAAGCTGCCGGCTCAGGGAGCTTAGGGTTTGGAAGTTTTTTTGGGTTTAGAGGCCTAGGGCTGAGGGCTGAGGCCTTAGGGCCTTAGGGCCTTAGGGCCATAGGGCCATAGGGCCTTAGGGCTTAAGGGGGGCAGAGGGTTTTACCTTCAGAGACGGGTGCATGTACCCCAGCAACCGATGACTTTAGGAAGCGTGTAAGGCGTTGTTCTTTCCGGTTCGGGGGTGCATAGGGCTGAACACTCCAAGCACGTACAGCGTATGTAAAGAAGCTGGGGCGACGATGCTTTGAGGCTTATAAGAAGCCAGCTTTTCCGGGCGATTGCGCATGCTGTCTTCGTGCGCGCCCTGAACCCTAAACCCTTTTCCAATGAACCCAGACTCAGAGCCTCAGCTCGGACCACCAAGCCGCGCATTTGCACAGCTCAGCAGCGTACACCCTGAAGCCTAAACCCAACACCCTTTCACATCCAGGCTATCCAGGCGTACACCCTAATTTAGGGTTTAGGGTTTAGGGTTTAGGGTTTACGCCTTAAACCCCATCCCTTTGTGAGTCCAGGCTACGCTCCGAAAGTTCAACCCCCCGCCCCCCTTCTTCTTCATACCCCCCCCCCACCCAAGCTAAGTGGAAGTTCTCGGATCCCGGTAGAGCCTCAGCTTGCGAGATCTCAACCACGAAGCTGCGGTAGTCGATGGAGTCCCAAAAGGGCACCTCTGCATTTCATTCCTAGAGCTCCTCTAGAGTCTGAATTCGGGACTTGGCGTTTGTTATTCTGTTATCAGTGTGAAGCTCCCAAAAGCCGTGAACTCTGAAGTGAAGCCTCGTCCACTCCGGCTCCCTGGGCCCCAAACAGGAAAGTCAGGTGTCTCTGAGGCCATGGCCATGCGCTCTGCCGGTGGACCCTGTGGTAACCACCAGCTGACGCGACCTCCATCTCTCGTTGCTTCTTTCCAGGCTTCCTATAACAAGAAATAAAGCGTCTGTGCTTCCAAGCGGCAGGACCCGGTAGGTCTCCGCCCAAGATCACTCGAAACGAATGTGCTGGTACGCAAAACCCCCGAAACAAAGAGAGTTCGGTTTCCATGTCTCAATACGAAGCATCATGAACCCTGAATCATCAGTATCATCAATCCTTCAGCCCAAGCCGTTACGCCTGTGAGCCCTTCCAGATCTGTCCCTGCACGGCCTGGGACATGCGAGGGGAATGCCACTACCACCGGAATGCAGCCCGTCAGAACGGCGTCCTGAGTGGCTGGGAAGCATCACGCTTGGGAGGTGGGTGTGAGCATGCAGATGGACCGTAGGTCCTTCGTGGTCCTTTCATTCAGTCAGCTGACTTCTCTCCCTGTTCTACAGAGGCTGGCAGGGTGGCCTTTGCAATGCAGTACCACACATTCTACCCAGACCCCACTGTGTGGGCTCCAACTATAAGCTACGAACCCTTGGTGCGCAAAGGGGAGTCGTTAGAATGTCTTCCTGGCAAGCTTGGAGCACCGATGCGATCCTCCCCTCGACTGCACCTTCTCTTCTGCCGGCTGTACGCCGTGTATCAACCAAAACCACAAAAACTCTCAGCCACACGCTTTTGCATTTGGACTCCCTCAGGTGTGAGCCCGCTTCTCTGGTTGGTAAGAATTCAAAGCTGGGTTTAGGGTTTACAGTAGGGCTTGGGGTTTAGGGGCTCTGGGCTCAGCCCTACTTTACTTTAGAGCGACCCCTACATGGTTGGCCTTAAACCCTCTTTTTCCAGCACTTGGGGCCTCAAAGCCAGCTTGGAGCCTGCCTCAGGCACTGAGGCTCGGGCAAAAAGACGCTTCTGGTGCGGCACGTCGCCCTGCACGATTGGGCAAAACTCGGACCTCGTCAAGTTTTGCCGAACGTTGTTGCTGAGGGTTTAGGGTTTCGGCCCTGGATGGGTTGAATTGGATTAAGGGTTCATGGTTTGGGGGTTGCTTTTTGTTGGTCAGGGGTTTAGGGAAAAGGATTTAGGGATCCCGTTCCTGTTCGTTTAGGGATCAGGCGAGTTTTTCTAGTTCACGGCCTGGTGTTGCAGGGGCCCTGGACACGGTAGGGTTTAGGGTTTAGGGTTTAGGGTTTAGGGTTTAGGGTATAGGGTATAGGGTTCAGGGTTTAGGGGTTCGGGTTTCGGGCCCCCCGCGTGGGGCCTCATCATCTCCTCCAGGACCATCTGCGGGGAGGCAGCCGTGGTTTGCCAGATGTCGCGCGCCTCGTAGTTGCTACCGATGTCATGGACCACCACCTCTCAGCCGTGACTTCTCTTCTTCTCATCTAGGGCCCTGAAGAATTAGACTGGGGTTTTAGGGGTTATTATAGTATAAATTACAAAGGGACCATGAGGGAATGTTATGAGTAGTTATTCCGACCCCTACATTACTTCCTTTTGAACCAGCTCCTGGCAAGTTGCCAGATTTACGAAGTTAGAGAGGTTGGGTGGCTTGGGAGGGGTGCTGCCAGCCCCGATGCTCGAGTCAGATGAGTGCCCGGAAGCCTCCCTTTTGCAAAGCTTCGCCAAATTAGGGTTTAGGGTTTCTATTAGGGTTTAGGGCCTAGGGTTTAGGGTTTAGGGTTTTAGGGTCTAGGGTTCAAACCTGGCCTTCTCCACGCCTGCCTTTTGGTACTGCAGCAGCTGGCCCACCACTCTCCTGCCTCACCCAGCATGACGCAGGCGCGCAACGTAACGCGGCGACTCACGGAAACCCAGTTCAACGATCCCAGATGGTCAATTCTCTAAAGCAACTAGTTAAGGTCATCTTTTCTGGCATGCATAAATCTTTATTTGTTTATTTACTTATTCATTTATTTTTAAATGGAAGTATAAGAAGCCGTGTTAGGACGGGAAACCCAGAAGAGAGCGCATGACAAAAACAAGGCGAACAGGCACGCAAGAACATCCGCCAGGTTCTGGCTGAACGCTATCAAAAAGCGGAGTTTTCCTAGAAGACGATTGAGAAGCTTTTACCCTGAGGTTTTGAATGCCCCAAAAGGGCCCCAATAAGGGGAACGATATAAGAGACAAATAACAAAGCACCAACCTACTCCTAAACCTTCTCATCTACGGCCGGGAGCCCCAAGAAGAGGTCATTGACAATTGTACGCTATAACTATAAGCCCTGTGAACCCTATCAACCCCAAAAAGCCCTAAACAATTTGAGCCCTAAACCCTATAAACCCCTTTGAACCCGATAAACTCTAAACCTGAGGTCATTGAAGACCGAGGGTCGCCACGGCTTGTCATTCGAGCCAAACCAGTATGCAAACACCTCGGACGCCAGGCACTTGCATTCGTTTGGTTATTTTGTTGTTGTTGTTGTTCTTGTTGTTGTTGCTCTTTATTATCCTGGTTCGGAGTTTAGGGTTTCGGGTTCAGGGCCGTTGCAGTTGAGGTTGCGGGTTGCTAGGATTCGGACCTTTGCGGGGAATGGGCTTGAAGGCCGGAGGGCTCAGGCGAAACCCTAACCCTAAACCCTAAACCTTCGAACTCTGCACACCCTGAGCGCAACTCAAGCGCGGCACATCCTCCTGAAGCCTTACGACGCGGCCCGTAGTAACCATAAACCCTAAACCCTAAACCCTTAAACCCTTAAACCCTCGACTCGACAGGACAGGTCCCGGGCACATGTCGCGCTGGCTCGCGCCCTGCCGCCTCCTGCAGCTCGAGCTTCGCGCCGGGCTGCAGGTCGGGATCCAAGTTGGGGCTTGGCACAACCTGGGGAGTTTAGGGTTTAGGGTTTAGGGTTTAGGGTTTAGGGTGGTTTAGGGAGTTTAGGGGGTTTGGGGTTTAGGGTTAGGCTTGGTCACGCACGAAAGCAGGCTCTAATTCGCTACCAGGGTTCGCTTGAACTGCACTAAGTCACTAAAGTATACCTACCTTAAAAGGCACATCCATGTGATTGAGCTGCGCCATGTCACAATGTGGCCTCCGCAGAAGGAGGCCCCGAGAGAGAGAAGAAGAGGCTGACCTTGAACTTCCACAGGCAGGTCCTTGATGTCCCCCGTGGCCAGAAAGAGATGGCGTGCACGCGTCCGCCACGAATAATGCCTTGGTTGCTGAGTTCACAAGCCCCAAAGAGTGCACGCTTTCAGTTCTATAGGGCATTTTAGTACCCCAAAAAGTGTAAAGTGTACCCTTTCAGCTACTAAGATGCGGGAGCGACTCGAAGAGGTATTTCACCGCCGTAGCGCAGCGGCATTTTCCCCAGCAGGGGTCACGCCCAGCATTGCCGCTCTCGGCACAGTCCGTTTTCGCCAAGTATGGCACCACAAAGAGGTCTGCTTCGGAGGGGTCCTCGGTTAGAACTCCTTCCGGGGCAGCCAGGAACTTGAGCAACACCAGCACCTCCGTTGCAAACTGCCGGTACACCGAAAACAGGCTGTTCCAGCGCTCCTCCGTGCAGGGTGTCAGCCCATAATCACACTCGCTTCCGGACGTCCAGCCACCCAGCTGCAGCCGGTTCAGCAGGTCCGCGTTGAAGATACGTGCCAGCGGATAGACGTAGACTCGCAGTCTCCGCCGTTGCCCCCGATCCAGTACCCAAAAGTCGCTGTCATGCGCTTTCACAGATGGTCCATCACAAAGAAGGGGTCCAAAGAACTGCTGCGTGTACCACTGCCCCAGGTTCTGGGGTTCACTGGTCGCGTCGCAACGGCAGCACCTCTCAAATGTCCGCCCAGCGCTGGCATCGAAACAACTCTCTGGCGGGGCCAGGCCCTGCATGGACATTCAAAAATGTGGGAAAAGAACTTCCACACTAAATAGAACAAAATAGCCATGCTTGCACAAACTTAGCTTCACTCTTGATATCTTGTCTACGCAGGGAAGAGGCGGCCCTTAGCCCTAAACCCCCTTGTGCACCTAACCCTAAACCCTATACCCTTTTGCAGGCTTCTGTGTATCCGCCGGGATGTGTCGCACCCGCTCTCCGAACCCTAAACCCTAAACCCTAAACCCTAAACCCTAAACCCTAAACCCTAAACCCTAAACCCTAAACCCTAAACCCTAAACCCTAAACGGGTTGGGGGCATCTTCGGCTTCAGAGTCCCTGGGCCTGGCAGCAGAGCCCGTAGTGCGCGGAGAAGTCGGGCCAGCAGTTCCGCTCCAGCAACTTCCAGGCCTCGTCAGGGCTTTTGGGGTTTTCGGTTAGGGTTTAGGGTTTAGGGTTTAGGGTTTAGGGTTTAGGGTTTAGGGTTTAGGGTTTAGGGTTTAGGGTTTAGGGTTTAGGGTTTAGGGTTTAGGGTTTAGGGTTTAGGGTTTAGGGTTTAGGGTTTAGGGTTTAGGGAGGGTTTAGGGTTTAGAGGGTTTAGGGTTTAGGGTTTAGGGTTTAGGGTTTAGGGTTTAGGGTCGGGTTTTTTGTTTAGGGTTTAGGGTTAGGGTTTGGGATTTAAGGTTCAGGGGTGAGGGTTTAGGGTTCAGGATTTGGGGCTATCTAAGTTGGGCTCACACTTTTGGAGAAAGAAAAACAAATGTCGAAGGCTCCGTGTTCTAGGAGGAACCGCGACAGGGACCATGATCTGGAGAACTGCCCTATTGCTACCATTTGCTTCAGAGACCCCCCAAAGAAAATAAACATGTATTCTTCTCCTTGTAAGGGCAGACGTACCCTAAACCCTAAACCCTAAACCGGCTCCAGCCAAAAGCAGATTATGGTGTTGCGGTTGATTTGCCAGGCTCGTTCACTCCCCCAACCTGGCTGCATGTTGAAACCCTTAAGCCCTTAAACAAGTTCGGACGCTTTAATCCCTTTTTGATTCAGGGTGTATGGTTTAGATTTCTTTTTTGCAACTGCGACTTGGAGATCTCCTTGTTTGCAACGGGCTTCCTGTCACCGCCCGGCTGTTGCAGAGCCAGAATCTCGTTGGTCTTGTCGCGCACTTGTGTCACTACAAGCACGAGCGAACTCGGAGATTTTCTGAATCCTAAACCCTGCTTTTGCGAACCCCTAAACCCTTTTGAACCTGGAAGCTACAGTACACCCTAAACCCCGAACTCCTCCCCCCAGGCCTTGGCAAGGCCCAGGCAGCCAACGCCCGCGAGCGCTGCCCGCCGGAGTGGCGACAACATAGGGCGACTTCGTAAAGACTGCGTACCCAGACCCTTGGGAGTATCCAAAAAATAGAACCCCCAAATAGTACCATATACGGGCCATTCTTAGGAACCGTCAAGGGGATCTAATTTTTGGATCCTCCCAGGGGTCTGGGTTCGTAAAGACTGCGTGCGTAAAGCGTCACGCTGCTTCGGGGCTTAAGAGGCGAGGGTTTTAGGTGTTAGGGCTTTAGGCTCCAAGGAGCTCTGTTTAGGGTTTAGGGTTTAGGGTTTAGGGTTTAGGGTTTAGGGTTCATGAGATGAGCGGCTCTGCTGCAAACACACGGCCCTAACAAACTCAACGTTCACACGACTCTCCTCGTTTTCAACCTTCTGCAAGGCGGAGGCAAGGCACCCTTGCGGCTCAAAGGGGCATTTCTCTATCAAAGGAAGGAACCCCAAAGAAGGGTACCGCTATTTTCGGAAACCAGAAGGTTCAATGTCAGTGATGTGACCTCAGGCTGATGAGCGGCTCAGGGTCAAGTCTTAGGGTCTTGGGGGGGTGCGGGGAAAAGGGGTTCATAGCAGGTTTAGGGTTTAGGGTTTAGGGTTTAGGGTTTAGGGTTCATAGCAGGTTTAGGGCAAGGGCTCTGGGTTCGGGATTGTTTGTTGCCATCCAAGAGAAGTCTCTCAGCATTCGATCCTCTGGGGCCCTGGACAGGGCGTCAGCCTCGGCTGTCGCCCCAGGACCGAGCCGCCTGCTTAGGGTTTAGGGTTTAGGGGTTTAGGGGTTTAGGGGTTTAGGGGTTTAGGGGTTTAGGGGTTTAGGGGTTTAGGGGTTTAGGGGTTTAGGGGTTTAGGGGTTTAGGGTCGTTTTTGCCACGCACCTGGCAGTTTAGGGTTCAGGGTTCGGGTCTCCTTTCTTGGGCTCTCTGTCATGGTCTTCTCCATGCTATTGCTGCACCTTTCGTGTGCGAACAGTCGAAGCTGATTCTCGTCACTCTTTGCGCAGTCCCGGTTTTTTTTGTTTATGTGATTCTACGCTTTTGCATACACCCTAAGCCCTAAACCCTAAAAGAGATGAGCTCATATATGACTTTAAACGGGACAGAGAGGCCCAGCAACAGACTGTAGAGATGCTGAAAAGCCCGGCAACCTTGACTTTAAAGGGGCCAACATGAAGGCTCAAGGCTTAAGGCTTAAGGTATTACAAGGGCCTATCATTTGGATCGGCCCCGCGGCTCTCACCTTTGGGGCTTAGGGCTTAGGGTTCAGGATCTGGAGTTTAGCGGTTAGGGTTTGGAGTTTGGGGTCTGCAAACGTGATGGCAAATGAAAGTCCGAGATTTTCATTTGCCTCAAACTCCCGCTTCTCTCCATATCCGGGGCGAGCCTCAGTCCATGTCGCTGCACCTCACCATCAACACGAGGCAACGTTCTACAGCTTGAATCACGGCTCCATTCTGCCCTTTGCACTGCGCAAGCGCAAGGTGATAAATCCGATTTCACGCCACATAGGCCGTTGTAGGAAAGGCTCCTCACCATAATATAATAAAGCCCCTCACCTCAACCCAACACGCCTGCAAGTCCGCAGCCTTCTTACAGCAGTATAGTTATAAAGAATATAAAGGGACCATAAGGGAATCCCATTCGAAATTGTTCCGAACCCTATAGTACAAGCAAATGGTGCCCTGAGCTGTGTTTACTAGCCTTCGACACATTAGACTTTCCGTTGCTTCATACGACTTGAAGGTCCTTTTTTCAGGGTTGGGGAAGCCAAGTACGCCTTATTGAAGCTAGTGAATCCCAAACAAGGGCCTGCAGGGTACAGAGAATCATCCCCTTGAAATTAGCCCGATTACTTCCTTGACGAATTTTAGGGAAACCCGAAATCCTACACCCGAAACCCTAAACCCTAACTCAGCCGCGGCAAAGAGCTGGTGTCTGTTTCTCGTCGCGACACATGGGAGGCCGTAGCCGCGCCACCGCGTCTTCGGGGGTGGGCATTGGTTTTATGCCCAACCTTGCCTTTGGCAAGGCATTCCCTCTTAAATGTCCGGACCTCCATTTTTGCAGTTCAATTTGCTAGCCAAGCTTGAGAGCTTTGGGCTTTCGGGTTTCATTAAGCGTCGAGTGGCAAGGGCCATGGATCCAGGCTTTGAGAACTCTTCTGAATGCACTGCCCTGGTGTGTGTGACCAGCGCTTGGGCACAAGAGCTGGAACTGCTATCGAGGGTCCATATCGCAAATGGCTTGAGAGTGGGACGCCTCGGACCATGTTTGGATTTGGGGCTCCAGCAACAGGGCATCGTCAGTTCAGTTTTAGAGCCCCAAACCCTAAACCCTAAACCCTAAACCCTAAACCCTAAACCCTAAGCCTCCGAGGCAGTTGCTCGAGGCAGGTGCCAGAGCCCGAGCGGCAAGGGCTCAGCGCTCCGCAGCCCTCATCACAAAGCCGGGCCGTCTCCATTTCTCAGCACACAGGCACATGGTACGGTTTAGGATTTAGGGTTTAGGATTTAGGGCTTAGGGTTGTTGGGAGCTCCATGCAAGTGAGGGGAATTTTGACCTTTTTTGCAAGTCATCCTTGTGCTCCTACTGGCAAGCTTGGAGCCAGGGGGCATGATGGTCCAACAAAGCCAGCAGGAACTCTCCTGCAGATGAGTCAAGGCCCATGGGCGGGTCCACATATCGATGGGACGACTGCACATGGTGTGTGTCCATGGTGGTCGTAAGGACTTACGTTGCTTCGGCTTGAAGATACCAAGCAAAAGCGTCCGGGATATCGTTGCCAGGGCAGCTAGCTGGGGCATGCTCTGGTCGGAGGGTGCTGACTTCAAGATCTCGTAGTTTTGGGATCCCTAGTAGAACATCATCTCCTGGTAAGCTGGCCCAGGACTACGAGCAGGAAACCTTTCTGTGAAGCTGAGACACGGCGAGGTATGCCGTCGTTGCCATCCATCCTCGTACGAAAAACAATGCACATATAATCCCTACACCCTACACCCTACACCCTACACCCTAAACCCTAAACCCTAAATAACTTCCTGTGCTTGGCTTAGGGCATGCTCTTCAAAGGCGAGAGGAGGCTGAGCTTCGTCACTCGCTCTCGCACAAGGCAGGCAAGGCTTCGAAGGTCGCCGGGTTTAGGGTTTAGGGTTTAGGGTTTAGGGTTTAGGGTTTAGGGTTTCGGGCAGAGAGGGACTGAGCCGACGACATGGTTGAAGCGATCAGCTGCTCGCAGATATCTTGGGAGAGCAGCATGGATGACCTTCACATAGGGTTTAGGGTTTAGGGTTTGGGGTTTGGGGCTTGGGGTTTAGGATTTCGGGCTTAGGGTTTAGGAGGAATGGCTCGGGCTTAGAGGATTTATGTGGGTTCGGGGATGTTCGGGGTTTAAGCTTAGGGCCCACCAGCTCCTCCTGCCTTTGGCGAACCACCACCCACACTGTCGCTCAACTTTCCAGCTTCTCAAGATTTTAGCAGCTCGAGAAAGGGAGTTTAGGTTTAGGATGTAGGGTTTAGGGTATAGGGTTTAGGGTTTGGGGTTTAGGTTGCAAGGTTTAGGGTTTAGGGGTGGCCTCAACTCGGACGACGAGATCACCCCGTCTTTGTCCGTGTCCAGGCGGTCGAATACCGCATTCCACGCTGCCCAGGTCTCTTCCGGAACCTCCTTGGGAGAGGGCGTAGGACTCTTAAGCAAGGCCCCCCTAGCAATACAAGTGCCTTAAGAATTGGAATAGGGCTTTGGGGGATATTCTAGCCCCGCTTGCAATACAAGGGCCTTAAGAAGTAGAGTTTCGGCTTGTCCTTGGCGCTATTAAGCTTCAGGACCTCAGGGCTTTGAGGGTTTTGGGGTTAACGCTCTCAGGGCTCAGGAAGTAAGGGCTCAGGGGCTCGAGGCTTAAGGCTCTGCGGCTCGCGGCTGATGCGAGCTCTTCCAACTTCTGCGGAAGGATGGCAGCCCCCAAGGCATGAAACAAACAGGGTTCAGGGCCCGGGGTGAGGAAGGGCCTCTTCCCTACTACCCTCCACCCTCTCTCCACCCTCCAACAAAGATTTCCCAAGAGCCTCGAGGTCTCTTGCTTACTTTTCCCGTCTCTGATAGATCTTCAACCTCGGAGCCAGGACTGAAATTCTGAAAATGTAGCCCCACAACCCAACGCCCACAACCCTCAGAGGCTAGGGCTTGGTGCTTAGGGACCTTTAGGCTTCAGGGCTCAGGGCTTAGGGCTTGGGGTTTAGGGTTTAGGGTCTCGGGTTTAGGGTTTCGGGACACTTCGGGATGCTTAGGGATCCTTAGGGACGCTGTGGGTTTGGGGGGTGCACGCGCCCGCGCCCGCGCGTGCAACGCACTTTCTGGGTACCAGGGGGCCGGTCGCATGGAGGCGGGCATGGCGCTCTTCCGCTCCACCTCGGATTGAACTGCTTCGTGTTGCCTGTGAAAGCAGGCCTAAACTCTGAACCCTAAACCCTAAACCCAACAATTGGAGATTGAGTTTTACAGTGCTTTTGTTGCGGGTTTAGACACGCATCACTTTCTGGGTAGGCCCTTGAGACATTTTATGTTTTCTCTTATTGTCTTGAAGAGGCCCACATTCAGGAACAGTATTCGGAGGGCTTCAGGGGCCCCACTGCTGTCTGCCGAAAGCCTCTACACCACCTTGGGGCACCTCGACCCTAAGCCACGAAGCCCTCAACCCCGAAATTCCCAGCGAAGGCAAGCGGCGCTTCCCGCGTACAGAGACTTTTGGGAGTCGAGCTCCCGGCGGTGCTTCTTGGCGCTATGGGAGAGCAGGCTGCTGAGCACCTCCGGCAGCTAAGAAGGAGCCGAGCACCCTCCCACCTCATCTTAGACGGGTGCTCGAGGGTTTAGGGTTTAGGGTTTAGGGTTTAGGGTTTAGGGTTTAGGGTTTAGGGTTTAGGGTGAACGGGCCAAACCATCACCAAAAATCTGACCAAACCTGCTTGACATCGCCAGAGACAGGTGACACGACATGTACTCAGACAGTGCAAGAGCCCGCCGACGGTCTAGGCGGCGATTACATGCAATCAAAGCAAAGAATTTATATAGTATATAGGATATAGTATATAGGATATAGTTTCGAGTATATAGTATATAGTATATAGTATATAGTATATAGTATATAGAATATAGGCTTTTGCCAAAGTAGGGTACCCCTAATTTACCCCAAAAGTACTCTAAACCTAATGATAGGAACCTCCAAATTAGCTACCCTAATTTCGATGGACTAATTCCTAACCTTCGTGATTACCGGGAAACCCCCATACGGTTCAGGCCCGAAACGCGATCTTTCAAAGCATGGCCACCCGCCCGTTCTGCCAGCTTTTCGCCACAAAAAGATACAAGGATGCAACCTGGGTTTAGGGCTTTGTTTGGCCACCTGCCTCACCTGTCGGACACACACTGCAGAGAACTGAATTTTCCCGGGTTTGTGGATGTAGGGTTTAAAGCTGCAACACGAGTTCGGAAACTGTCTGTGAGCCTTCCTGGGGCCGTTTCCTATAATAAACCCTAAACCCTAAACCCTAAACCCTAAGGGACCCTTTTTTTGGGAGGGGGCCTGGCCTCTTGGTCGAAGCCGCTCATCTCGGGTGGCCGCCAGTTGTCTGGGCACATCATGGCCTACCACGGCCGCAGCCCTTAATCCGTAAACCCTTTGAAGCTCTAATCCCTGGGTTTAGGGTTTAGGGTTTAGGGTTTAGGGTTTAGGGTTTAGGGTTTAGGGTACCCTAAACCCTAAAGACTACCCCAAACATCCTACATTCCTTGCTACCGTAATTACTTAATAGGGCACATATCCCCCAAGATAACCCTTTGCCTAACTCCCAACTCCCTCATCAGGAATGAGTCGTTTAATGGCGTTGGGTCAACTATGAGGCGCAACGAGGCGCGATGAACTCGTGCATGTCGATGAAGCCATCCGCAGACACGTCGTACTTCCTCAGCAGCTCGCTGTCGAGACCCATGGCCTCGTGGTGGAAGGCAGCGATGGCCAATTGCAGAGAGGTCTTGTGAGGCTTGTGGGGTTTGGGATTGGGATTCTCGGATTTCGAGGCCTTACCCATCCTGGAAGCTTGGTGCAGTCAATAGTCTTGGATGGACACGCAACTGAGGTGCCCAATGCTGCAACCTCTTACTACAGGTTGCTGCTGCATGTGTCCCCATGTGCGAACTCGCAAGGTTGCCCCTAGAGCCCCAAACACTATCGAGCTTCCTCACACGCAACCCTAAACCCGAAACCCTAAATTTCGCCTCCCGGACCTCAGTTTCCTCTTGCATTGGTGGGGAATCTGTCTACAAAACTTGTCAGGTTGCCGGCTCGGATTGTGGATCTCTCATCCGTCTTGCTGCGGGCTAGCAGGTGCATGCGAAGTGCTGGGTACCCGTTACTGAAATATACTGTTCTCAGATTAAGAAAGCGATACATATACACACATATATACCTACATACATACGTTATGTGTATATGTATGTATACATATGCCTTTTGGTAACTTGATTTTTTATGTTTCAGAAATGAGCCCAGCAGCAGTCTCAATCTGGGCCAGTGTGATGAAGCCCGAACCCTCGACGTCAATCGCCTTGAACTGCCCTTCCTGGGCCCGGCACCAAGGATTGCGAGGGGGGGAATTCCTGGCTAAACTCAGCACGATGCACAGTAGATAGACCTGAAGACCTAAGGAACGCCGGCAGTTTCCGAAATAATTCCCTTTTTCTGTACAAAAGAACCGTTACGTGGCGAGGACCAGCAGACACAGGACACTGATGCTTCCTGCATCCGTGTCGCTAGCCTGGCCAGCTCTACGTCTGGAATGATGGGCAAGTTGTTGACATGCGACTGCGCCACCACTTTCTGTTCGCATGCCTGCAAAAAGTCTGGCTCAACGCCACCCGAGATCCTACAGGCTCTCCACCCTGGTGTCAGCAAGGATTCGGGCACCAGAAGCACTAGCTGTGGCACTCATCCTTATCCTCCTCTTCTGGGTTCCAAGAAGCGCTCGGGAAGATGTAGTCAAGCCGGCAGGCAGCACATGAAGAGCTGCCCACCGTAGAACTTCGACCCCAGCCGGCTGGCAACTCTGCTCTCAATCGTTCAAAGTAATCGACCCGAATTTGGGGGTTTCACCCTAAACCCCAAACCCTTCACCCTAAACCCTAAACTCGCCCAAGATTGAGGACAGTTGGGGGGCCCAACACTTGCACGTTTGGATTCAACAAGAGAGGCTGTCGCCGGCCTCTACGAACTTCTGATGCTCAATCATTTGGTCGAACCTGGCAAGAATGCGGGGTTGGCGCTTTTTGGGTACCATATTGACTGTAAGAAATGTACCACCTGATCACCAAAACCCTAAACCCTAAAACCTAAACCCTAAACCCTAAACTGTAAGAAGCATACCATAATTAAGATCACCTCAAAAGTGCCCAGAACTTTAGATCAACCCGCCGGTCCAGCCGCGCAGCCCTAAGGGCAAGACTCGACTGTGCTCCCCCCCCAACACGGGCAATGCAACATGGAGGGGCGCAAGGCTGTACAGTGTCTATATATATGTATATATATATATATGTATATATATATATGTATATATATATATATGTCAGTATGTCGGTCTGCAATCTCTGAGTACTTTTTTTGCATGTACACATATGTTTAGACATTTGTCTATATAACTGAACTTTCTTCAAGCAAGCAACTGCTGCAGCCAGCTGTCGAACATTCGAAGGTGCATTTTCTGAGCTCCTGCAGCCGTTTCAAACGAGGTCGAAGTTGTGGCAGAGTTCCTATATCTTCATGTTCCGTTTCGGGCCCCTGTGGCCTTGCATATGCAAGCACATTAAACGACAAATATCTACAAGGAAGCTCCCCGTGTACCAACCCTTATCTATGTAGGTCGTGGGTCACATGCAGCATCACATAACACCTTCCGCACATCGTCATGCGCGGCCATCGAAGTACAAGATACACCACTCATTAAACGCCTCATCATGGAAACAGAATCCCAAAACGTAGTAAGGGCGCGGAGAAAGGGGGCGGAGTTTCAGCTCTGGCGAGCATGGATTGCGCTCAGGGTGCTGATCATTCTGTACCAGCGACACCAATCTCCAGTCTCAGGGACCAAGCCCTAGAGTCACGCGCCAGCCCCCTCAAGATTCTTCCCCTAACTTTTGAACTTCCTGGGTCAGAGTAATGAAGAATTACGGGGGTCGGGGAACCTTTGATTCCCCAACGGGATTTGGCGCACGCTTTCTGTCAGGGCGTAGGGACTCCGAGCTGGAGGTCTGGGGCTTTTGGGTTCCAGGGTTTTGGGGCTTAGGGTTTAGGATTTTAGGGTTCAGGGTTTAGGGTTCAGGGTTTAGGGTTTAGGGTTCAGGGTTTAGGGTTTAGGGTTCAGGGATTGCGGTGGTCCAGCAACCCTGGAGAAGACCCACGTTCCTGGACACAGCTTCCGCAGGAAGCTGAAGAGGTCGGCCTTGATTCCTGCTTGGGGGAGGTTTAGGGTTTAGGGTTTAGGGTTTAGGGTTTAGGGTTTCGGGTTTCGGGTTTCGGGTTTAGGGCCTAGGGTCAGGGTTTAGGGTTTAGGGCTGAGGGTCAGGAGTAACCTAGGAATAACAACAGGTGCCCTTGTTGGTTCAAAGGATCTAACGCAAGGAAACCTAAGCCCCCCTAAAAAAGGGAATATGGGCCTACTAGTTGGGCTTAGGGTCTAGTTTAGATGGTATTATTTTGTTTGCCTTAGCTGACCCAGTCATGCCCACCATGCCCCGGAAAGCTGCCCTACACCCTAAACCCTAAACCTCAAACCATTCAGAGGGGCTTCGGGCTTGCGGGCTCATGGGTTGAAGAACTCAGGCTCTCAGGTCAAACAGTGGTGGGACTGAGACGTCCCTGGGCGGGTTTAGGGGTTGGGGTGTAGGGTTTAGGGTTTATGTGGCTCAGAAACTTTAAAAAAACTTGGTGCCCTAGCACAATCGGGTTGACCGCCCAACTGTTTTGCCACGAACTCGCGAAGAGAAAGAACCCCTAAACCCCAAACTTCCATCTTGAATCCTTAATTGTGCGTTCTCTTATAGGAATATTTTACCTGAATCAGAGGGCTCTTCTACCCATATTTGGCCTGCTTAGTTGCTAAGTTCACAAGCCCCCCAAAAAAGTGTACACTTTCAGTTCTATAGGGGGATGATAGCATCCCAAACCGGGTAAAGTGTACTCATTCAGCTACTACAAGCCTTAAATAAGGTGGGCCTTCCAAAGGAACGACGAGTGTAAACCCTAACCCCTAACCCCTAACCCCTAAACCCCTAACCCCTAACCCCTATCCCCTAACCCCTAACCCCTAAACCCTAAACCCTAAACCCTAAACCCTAAACCCTAAACCCTAAACCCTAAACCCTAAACCGTGCCGGTGGCACCTCGGGACCTCTCATCCGTGATCCGCTCAAGAGCGGGCTGCAGCTTGGTCCTGGGGCTTCGGATGGCTTAGGGTTTAGGGTCTAGGTTTTAGGGTTTAGGGTTCAGGGTTTCGGGTTTAGGGCTAGGGTTTAGGGTTTCGGGTTGAAGGCTTCGGGTACTGTACAACACTTTTTGGGGGCCTTCAGCGTCCGCATCCTTGGTTGAACTCCCCACACCAGCCCCAAAGAAAGCCAGAAAGCAAGCCGACTGCCCACAATCCCAAATACCCTAGGGCACTGGAAAGTCCCGACAAAACAACAAACAAGCTGAAGTTTCAGAAGGCCTGCAATTCGGGATGTTCCCCCTTATAGCAAACAGTCCTTAATAGGGATTGTAGTACCCCCTGTTAGAATCCCTATTCAGGGCTGTTAGTGCAAGGGGGCCTACAACCCAAAATGCTCCAAACCCTTGCTTGCGGCTCTGACCGGCCACCGGTCTGCCCGAACAAGATGCTGCCCTCAAATAAAGGGTGGGTTTAGGGTTTAGGGTTTAGGGTTTGGGGTTTGGGGTTTAGGGTTTAGGGCGGACTGCAAGCTAACACAAACATGCTACTGGCTGCCTCTCGTAAACATGTTCTTCAAAAAAGTCTAAGCCCTAAACCCTAAACCCTTTCTGAACCCAGGCTCTCTGAAGTGCCAAACCCTAAACCCTAAACCCTAAACCCGAAACCCGAAACCCTAAACCCTAAACCCGAAACCCTAACCCTAAACCCAAACCCCAAACCCCAAACCCTAAACCCAACACATGTTTTTCAGGAACGGTCGAGTCGGGGCACCAGAGGTCGGCGGTGAGATCCTCGCGGCCAAGACCTGCCAGGTGAGGTAGTCAGTTCTGTTTTTTTAGGGTTTAGGGTTAGGGTCAAGGGTTCTGGGTTTAGGGTTGAAAAGGGTTTAGGGTTGAAAAGGGTTTAGGGTTTAGGGTTTAGGGTTTAGGGTCACAAAACTTCGGGTTTTGGAGTTAGGGGTTGCGGTTCTGGGGTCAGAGGCAAAGGTTGCAGAACCCTACACCCTAAACCCTAGGCCCTAAATCCTAAACCCCAAACCCCAAACCCTGAATTCAGGGCGCCAGGAAGTACGCGCAAGTCTGGGGTCTCCTCTCTGGAAGATTTCGAGGTGGAGGAAACGGTAACTTAGAGAATGCAGGGCTTTGGGATCAGGAATTGGGGTTTAAGGCTTAGGGTTTAGGATTTAATTGGCCACCCGAAAGCTCAAACCAAGGAAGCGCCCAAAGGGTTGAGGGTTTTAAAAGTGATTATAATCGGGGGTACCATAATGACTATTAAGGACTATTCAAGTTTTAGGTTTTTCGGGTTTAGGGTTGACCTCCCCCACCCCCCCCCCCCCAACATTAAGATCCGCCAACCTTCCCACGCAGAGGCTCTTTCGACTTTGGCTTTGGGGTACTTTTACAACGGGGGAGACAAGTTTCCCCACAATTTCGTGCTCGGAGACTGTTCTCTCCATATATTGGGGTGCTGGCGGAGATTTTCCAAACCGTAAACCGTAAACCGTAAACCCTAAACCCAGCCTTGTTGTAGCTCCCTGTGCGTCATCTGGAAGGTGCCCTGGAAGGAAACGGGGCATGGGGCTCACATGGGCATTTCCAAAAATAGGGGTACGCGTAATATACCCCAAAATAGAAAATCCTTGCTGTTGTTATTATTATCACTATCTTTTTATATTATTCTTCTTATTCTGAAATGTTACTATCATTATTATTATTACTACTATTATTGTTTTTCCTTATTCAATTCGGAGTATTCTAGGAGCCCCCAAAAAGGGCACCCCAGATCGGTGCGAAGCGCACCCTGTAAAAACCAACTCTGCGGTGGACCGGAACGCGACCCTGGGGTCTCCAACTATACTTGGAGGTTCATGGTACTCATTAGCCAACTACCTGTTCGGGTTTAGGGTTAGGGTTTAGGGTTTAGGGTTTAGGGTTTAGGGTTTGGGGTTTGGGGTTTAGGGCTTGGGGGGGTCTGGGGTTTAGGGTTTAGGGGTTTAGGGTTCTTAAAACCAAAATTTATGACCATGTTCGGGCACTTCAGGGGCTTGTAGGAGGGTTATCCAAGCAGACCCGCCTCGGCCACACAGAAATGAAACACAGCCCGTGCCAAGACGACCTCTCTGCGAGTGAGCATGCCTTGGCGTAGCACGGGAAAGGAAAGCCCTAAACCCTAAACCCTAAACCCCATCTGGGATCGGCAAGTGTCTCAATTCTTTGGGAACCAAAGGCTGCCACCGTAGACACAATAGACTGACCACCTAAATCAGAAGCACAACGAGCCTTGGAACCTTTTAACATCTGCAGATGCAGACATCTTGCGTGCAGGCCAGTGAAAGCAGGCCGCTACTATCGTGCGTCACCACGCTCTCGATGGGAACAGGCACGGGCCCTTTGTGGGAAAGGTAGAACTTCTCTTCCTCATCCATATGAGCCTCGCTCGGCCGTGTCGCACTTGCTTAGGAGGCACATGACGCGAATGTACGGTACAGGAGTGGAACCATCACCTGGACCTTTGCAACGCGGCCAGCCCAACCCAATCGAAACCTTCCCGCAAAAACACCAACAAGCAACAACAAAACCCTAAAAAGCCATCCAGGCCTATGGTACTGCCGCTCTAAAGCCTTAACCCAAAACCCTTTTTGCGAGGGGCTCTCGGTCACCGCCAAACCCTAAACTTCAAACCCTAAATCCTAAACCCTAGCCTCCGGATCCTCATCCAGCGGTTGCAGCTTTGGGCAAAAGCGCTCGATGGACAGTGCGTAGGGCAGCGCCAATGGATCCTGGTACTCTCCTGGACGGGTTTAGGGCTTAGGGCTTCAGGAAAGTTTAGGATTTAGGGTTTAGGGTTACTTAAAGGCTCATGTCCTGGATTGTTCCGGAGCTTGTAAGCACCCTGAGAGAATCGAGCCTATAGCCATCATGCTTAGACAACGGCCCATGGAACTCCAAGTGATGTTCCGGGCATCCCCGAGGCCCTAGAGGCCGTAACCTACTCGGGAGTCCCTAAACCCCTAAACCCTAAACCCCTAAAACAATGGGAGTATTTGATCTTTGGGGGTAGGGGAGGGTTGGGGGGAACAGAGTCCTAAAACGCCTTAAAGGGGGGAAGGGATGAAATGGCCTGAGTCCTACAAGCCCTAAGCCGCAGTTTGGGCGCATTTGCCTAAGTCGTCGACTTTCGGTGCTCGTTAAACACGAACAGCTTCCGGCGCAGGGGCCTGGCTTGCTGATGGCATATGAGGGACTGTGAACCCTAAACCCTTCAAACCCTTGTAGATACGCCGGAGTTCCAAGCAAGTCGTTGACTTGCCAGGGGTCACCATCCCTACTGCCCTAGGAACTGCTAAGTCCAGGCTAAGGTAGCTTGCCCGAAACTGAAACCCTAAACCCTAAACCCCAAACTGAAAACTGAAGGGTTAACCGAGAAATGACACAGTCTTGGGAGTTTTCGCGTGCAACCAGAAGTTGCTCATCTCTTGATTTGGTTGGCAGGCTTTCAAAGCCCAGCAGGCCGCTTCGGCCGGTGGACGAGCCTAAACCCTGAACCCTAAACCCTACACCCTAAACCCTAAACCCTAAACCCTAGCCCTAAACCCTAAACCCTTTGTGGCCCAAGGTGCGGAAGCACCAGCCCACCAGGGTGGAGAAGGGCACGAGCTGGCGTGGCGGACCGGCCTGCGACTTTCGAGAGGCGGGTGAACTTGCTATGTTTTGCAAGGATTTTTTTTGGAAATATGGGAGGGTGTTGGGTTTAGGGTTTAGGGTTTAGGGTTTAGGGTTTAGGGTTTAGGGTTTAGGGTTTAGGGTTTAGGGTTTAGGGTTTAGGGTTTAGGGTTTAGGGTTTAGGGTTTAGGGTTTAGGGCTAGGTCGGGTTTAGGGTTCTTTGGAGTATGGGTCCCAAAATGATCCCCTGAATGTTTAGAAGGGGAAGATGAGGCCCTGTTAAGAACAAGTAAGTTAAAGGTGGTTGAGGGTGGAGGGGTCTGTGACTAAACGCGCTTGGGGGCTTCGGGTCTTCAGGCTTCTTGTAAGAAAGCCTGTTGATTGGCGCTGGGGCTGTGAAGTTGGGGAAGCTTAGGCAGATGGAGCTAGAGTTTAAACCTTTGACCCTAAACCCTAAACCCTAAACCCTAAACCCTAAACCCTAAGGTAAGTAATGCCCACGCGGATTCTAAATTAATCTTTGGCCCGCTTGCCATCGGCCTAGCCTGAGGGCGGCTGAGCTGGTGCGAGCCTTGGCTGTCAAGCAACCGGGGTGGGGTTCAGGGTTTAGGGTTTAGGGTTTAGGGTTTAGGGTTAGGGTCTAGGGTCTAGGGTCTAGGGTCTTAGGGTCTTAGGGTCTTAGGGTCTTAGGGTCTAGGGTCTAGGGTGTAGGGTGTAGGGTTTAGGGTTTAGGGTTTAGGGTTTAGGGTTTAGGGTTTAGGGTTTAGGGTTTAGGTTTAGGGTTTAGGGTTTAGGGTTTAGGGTTTAGGGTTTAGGGAACCTTAACCCCCTAAACAGGAATCAGAGCACACGCTGGACATCCTGACATCCTAAAGATAAGGGAACATCGTAGTTCGGCATCCGTGCGGCTAAACCCATCGGAAAAAAACTTCCGCAAATCTATACACCAAAACGCCGTCATTAAAGAATCTCTCCAAAAGCCTGAGAGCCTAAAGCCTAAAGCCTATGAAGAATGATTAGGCCCCATTAACCGACTGAGGCGCGGATGGCTTCTGCGAGCAAGCCCAGCGTGTCTTTGTTCCCCTGGTCCCGGAGCGCCTGCTTGAACCCAAGTAGGCACTCAAAGGGTTTCGGCCAATGCCCTAAACCTTCGAGTTATTTTTTTTGGTTGCATCCAACCCCTAAACTTGCCATGTTCCCTCATATGGGGTGCTACAATCCCTATTAAGGACTGCTATCAAGGGCTCTAGGTTGCTTCTTGTCCCTCTGCTATGCGTTGGGGGTTTTGGGTGTGGGTTTGGCGAGGGTGGGGGCTCACAACAGAGTCCAGGACCCCAGGGTCGGCAGACTTGTAGCTGGTCTCATAAAAAATATAAGTACTGATAGGTTCCTAATATGAGAAAACCAGAAATAACTCTTAGTTTGAGTAACCATACTTATGAATATTGATTGGCTTCTATCCAAAGGGAGTGGTCATATTTAGTATTAATAAGGACTCTGTTGTAGAGCTCGACGGGCCAGCCAAAGCCATGAACCCTACAACCTCGTTTTTCGAGGAGAGGCAGCAGCAACCCTAAACCCTAAACCCTAAACCCGAAACCCTAAACCCTAAACCCTGAACCCTGAATGGGTACCGGATTCATGGGGCACCGTGCAGCTGTTTGAGCCCAGCTGCCCCTTGCAAAAATCAACCCCGAACTCTTGTGCCGGCTTGCGGAGGATACCCTGAAATAACCCTTTTTCAACGAGGACTCGACTCTCAAGAACCTCCTGGTCGCCCGCCAGCACTTCGCTAGCCCTAAACCCTAAACCCTAGACCCTGAACCCTGAACCCTGAACCCTCAACCCTCAACACCCAACCGAGGGGATGGTTGAGGCCGTTGGCCCCGAGGTGCTAGGGGGGGGGGGGGGGGGGGAATCTTTAGAGGGTCCCTCGGAAGATCTTGAAGGTTCAGCGCTTAGGCCTTGAAATTTGAGGCTTCCCCGTGTCCAAGAGCAAGGGGGTTCTGAGGCTGTGGGTGCCATTTTTGCGTTCGAACTTTGAAGTTCTTTTTTCTGGCAGTGGCCGACAGAGATTTTGGGCTTGGGGGGCTCCTTTCTTCTGCGAGGCTTGGGGGCCTGAGCCCCAAGTCTGTAGCTTCCGACCGGTGCTTCAACTAAGCAGTTTGGGGGTGCTATAGGGGCCTAAACAATTAAAATAGGGTTTTGGGGGGTCATTAGAGCATAGCTGAAAGGGACCATAAGGGAATGTTCTGAGTAAATTATTCCGACCACCTGTCCAAACACTAAACCTGTAATATCAGACCGTTCAATCATGTCCGGAAGTCCATGCCCGACTGACGGGCTTGGGAAGCTAAGTTCTTTTCCACCGGCGCACCTTCAGGCGGCCGGCGGCAATCTCGCCCAAGCGATTGTAGAGCCGCTGGACGATGAGACTGAGCGCGCGTTCGCAGAATGCCGTCAGTTAGAATGCCCATGTTGAAGGTCTATGAGAAGGGGCCACACATGTTCCGAGCAACCCTTAAAAATCCTATGCAAGCGCGTTTTAGGGGTTTTAGGGGTTTTAGGGGTTTAGGGAACAGTAACGTCTCTTGGGAGTAGCCAGGACTCCGGTTTGCTTTCGCACTTTCGAAGAGTAGGGCTGATTAAGGGGACGCCCTTTGGCCTGGTGAGAGTTTAGGCAACCTGCGATACTGCCCACAACCGACCAGTGGTTCTGCGACCCTAAACCCTAAACCCCAAACCCTAAACCCTAAACCCCTAACCCTAAACCCCTAACCCTAAACCCCTAACCCTAAACCCCTAACCCTGAACCTCTTCAGAAAGTCGCCTGCGGCTTGCACTGTCAAGAGGCTGGATGCTTTTCGGCGTGGGCATCACATCCTGGCAATCTCACACCCGGGGCCGGACACTTCCTAAGATTGAGGGTTTTAGGGTTGAAGGTTTAGGGTTTAGGGTTCAAAAAAAAGCCTCTGCCTAAAGCACGCGCTGTCTCTGACTGACGGCCTCTTGGCAGGGAATTTCGGGAATTGAAGCATATACATGGTCTCGGTACCTAACTGCCCCAATTGCCTGCAAAAGCCCAGGAAGCCAGATGATGAACCTCCACTCAGGAAGCAGGAGGGAGGGCTAAGGCCTGAAGACGAAGACGCCCTAAAACGCTAGAGCCCCGAAGCCCGAAAACCCTCAAGCCCTAAAGCGCTAAAACCTCAAAACCCTAAAGCCCTAAAAGCCCTACCCTCGCTACCTCCTTATGCCGCAGGCCGAAAGAGGCCCCCAGGCCGTGGATGAACGCCTCAGAGGCCGGAGGCTTCAGGGGGTATGGAGATAGGAGGTAGGGTTTAGGGTTAGGCCCTTAAGGCCGTCGGAGGGGTGCCTTCAGCCGGCGATTGAAGTGAGGAGGACTGATGAGGAGCTTGCTTCCGAAAGTGCCAGAGGCCACTTCGGGGATGGTTTTGGTACGTTGCAGAATAGATTTTTGAACACCCTGATGTTGAAAGTTTCGGGGGCAGGGTCTAGAGTCTACAGGCTTCACCTCCCTTAGACCCAATGGCCCAATGACTCAATCTTTGAGCCCTCAGCCACGAGCTTATGAGCTAGACAAGAAGCTTTGGAAATGAACAGCGGTCGGCCGACTCTGCAAGGAGGTTCTCGGCTTTGGGTTGGCTTTCGGGTTTTGGGGTTCCAGCTTTCGGCCAATCTCCCCAGGGGCCTCGGAATATACCCCTACGCATCTGTATCGCCGGGCAGCAAGTGTCCTGGGTCCTAGGGCTACCTACTAACCCTAAACCCTAAACCCCAAACCCTGTGCATTCACGTTCAAGTCTGGCCACAGTCACAAAACCGGCGAACTCCAGCTCATCCAGTGACCGGCTGTCATCGATGTCGAAGAGGCCTCGCACGACATTCCCTAAACCCTAAACCCTAAACCCCAAACCCTAAACCCCAAATCGGCTTCAGATGCCGAAACGTTCGGAACCCCCGCAAAGGTTTCGGTCGCTCCGGCCTAGGATAAACTTCAGCTTCTGCTTGGTCGCGATCAATCTGGAAAGCACTACGCCAGCCTCGGCTCCACGCGGAACCCTGAACTCTAAACTACCTCAACCCCAAACCCCAAAGTCGAAGCAACCAGAATTCTGGGATAGGCTGACATGCAAAGCCCCTACCCCTAATTTCAATATAGGGAACTTATAGCCGCGACATTTGAAGGACTATTGTCGTTCAGGAGGCCGGGGACTACGCTGCACGCCGAAATGGCAAGCCCCTAGATTGGCGCTTAACGTCGGTCACCTAGACCCTAAGCCCTAAACCTAAACCCTGAACCCTAAACCTGAACCCTAAACCCTGAGCTTTTGGGCTTTTGGGTCTCCAGGCAAGCAATCGAAAGCCCAAAGCCGGCGAGAGGCCGTCATGAAGTCGCGCACTTTAATCTTGCACTTCTTCATGCCTGCCAGCAGCTGTCTAGGAAGGGTTTAGGGGTTAGGGGTTAGGGTTTAGGGCTTAGGGTTTTCTAAACCCTCTTTGCATCTGCTGAACCCTGTTGCACCTAACCGCCAAAGCCTGAACCGGAAACCCTTTGAGGAAAAGGCACCCTGAGCGATTGGAATCGCTCATAAAACTCCACGAACCCAAGTCCAAGTGTTGCGGTTTAGGGTCACTATGTCATTTTCGGACGGTGGGGGAGGGCGTGACAGAGACCGGGGGCCTGTCTTGCAAAGCCTTGCTCCAAGGCTTGGGCCGGTTTAGTGCTAGGCCCCTAAACCCTACGAGTATAAACCCTAAACCTACAAAACCCTAAACAGTAAACCCAAAATATCCATTCGAATGTCCTACAGGCCTCTATTTTTGAAGTCGGGGCCCGGACTACCAGAGGCGCGTGGCTGCGGTTTACGGTTTAGGGTTTAGAGTGTAGGGCGTAGGGTGTAGGGTTTAGGGTTTAGGTAAAAATTCCGGCCTCGAAAGAGGCATCAGGTTATCTTCCTCTTTACAATCAGGGCTCAGGCCTTCTCAAGGTTGACCCCTTAAACTCTCTGAAAAGCATTCCTGAATCTGACATCTTTTTAAAACCAGTAAGGGAAGATGCACAACGATCTTGAGTATTAGGAACCTTGGATTACATACCCCCCTTGAACCCCCCTCCCTTAAGAACCCTATAAAATCATAGAGGTAGAAGTTGCTTCCCCCCAGCCAACCCGCGGTTCCTTCACCGCCGCTGCTGCTCCCGGAGAGTCTGCGATGACCCGTGGGATCGAACCTGGGATTGCAGGGTTGTCCAGTAACCTGGGGGAATTAAAGGTTAGGGATTAGAATACTCCCCAAAAAGGGAAAAGGTTACCTACTCTACTACTAGGGATTGCGGGGATAAGATGGGGAATGTTGCCGGGCTTGCAGATCAGGTTCAGTTTAAGAGCCCATGGTGAAGGGTTTAGGGTGTTAAGGTTTTTCGCTCCCGCATAGCTGGCCGAACCGCAGGGTTTTAGGGCTTAGAGTTTAAGGGTTTAGGGTTTGGGGTTTGGGGTTTAGGGTTTAGGGTTTAGGGTTTAGGGTTTAGGGTTTAGGGTTTAGGGTTTAGGGTTTGGGGCATGCTCCCGACCGTTTTGTTTAGACTCATGTCGAGCGGAAGAATGCTTCAGGAGGTTGTGAATGTCTTCTGTCGACCCCTCAAAAGGGACCCCAAGAATGTCGTTCCCAGTTCCCAAATTTGTACCCCTGACCCGCATGCAAAATTTGAAGTTGGGGGAGGAGATGAAGTACCTAAACTCTTCTCTGAGCCCAAGGACGTACTACATAAGCCCTCAGCCCAAAACCTTACGCGTAAACCCCAAACTTAGTGTGTGAGGTTTTGGGTTTAAGGTGTGTGTGTGTGTGTGTATCTGTGTGTATGTTAACAGCATTCATACAAACATTACACATAAGTATTGTTCATAGACCTTTGAACCCGGCAGTAGCCAAGGCGCAACTTGATCACCTCGATGACCTCGCTCCATGGGATGCGATGCTTGAAAGAAAGAATGGAGGCTTTTAAGGCTTAGGGCTTAGGGTTTTGGGCTTTGGGCTTCAGAGCTTTTCTTCTGCCGCACGCCTCGCTGAGCTTTGGCGACACTGCCGGGAACATTCCGGGAAAGGTACGCCTATCGGTTTCTGCGCCACTTGACTCAGCGCCCTAGGATGAATCCAGGGGTTGAGGAGTGGAGCTTAAGGGTGTCGGGGTCTTAGGGATGTAGGTTTCGGTTTTAGGGCTGAGGGGTGGAAGTCAGCAGTTTTGGGGCTTCGGCCTGTTGCCTCTTTACAGCGGGCTTTTGGGGGTTCCACTCCGCAGTAGATGGATGCCATCACCCGCGGTTCGTGTGACCCAAAGGCGCCTCAACCAAAAGAGGAACTAGATAGGAACCCTTTTGTTGCTTCAGGGTTTAGGGTTTAGGGTTTAGGGTTTAGGGTTCAGGGTTTAGGAACCTCAAATCCTAAACCAAAGCGATCGGACGTGAGTGCTTCTGGGAGGCCTTGTTTGGCGGGAGCTTCAGCAGCTTTTGCAGCTCCTCACCATCAACGCCTCGGCCCCCCACTTGCTCTGTAGGGCGGGGCTTATTCGTGGAGGTTCATGGGCACTGAAACGTTTTTACTTAAGGTTGCAAGTACCCTAAGTAAAGGCTTGGATTGTAGTTGCCATACTTCTCACCCTACTTCTACATGCCCATGAACCTCCAAGTAAGGTCGTGGGAGTCTAGGGGTGCGGAGATGCCCCCCAAAAAATTGGCGAAGCTCGGAGAGTAAGGGTCTGCATGGGAGTTCAGGATGCTGCTAGACACAAAGGGTTTAGGGTTTAGGGTTTAGGGTTTAGGGTTTAGGGTTTAGGGTTTAGGGTTTAGGGTTTAGGGTTTTCAAACATCTCCGATGCCAATAAGGCACAGTCTGCGACCTTCGCTGGATTCCAATGGCCGGCCTCCTTCAGCAGCGGAGACATCAGGCTCTAGAATTAGGCTATAGGAGAATAACAATATATTCAGATATGTACTACAATAACATAATGTCATAACATCCTAAGACTAGATATGAAAATAATTCGTTATTTTACTTCGAACATCCCCACCCTCTGTGGGTAGAGATACTCTGGGGTTGGGCACTCCCGGCACACTCTGGGGTTGGGCACTCCAGGCACACTCTGGGGTTGGGCACTCCAGCGAGGAGTAGATCGGGCGAGGAGAAGAGTTGAGTTCAAAATCTACCAACCCCACACCGAGGGTGGGGAATAACATGGCGATACAAGGTGGTCTTCATCATGATTAGCAATGTGATATTTCTTTGTCGATGTTTAATCTTGTTGGTGTTGCCACTCTCGCAGTCTCACAACCATCTCTACAAGCTCACTGGTCTCGTTCTACCAGTCAGTGGCTCGACTGCGCTACGCCGACAGAAAGGTAGTGAAACCCTTGCCTCACCTCTTCGTGACGCTCATGCCACCTAAGAATAATAGGAATGCCCTTTTTCGTTTAAAAGGGGGTCATCAGGGAGCCCAAACCCGGGAATAAGGGCCAACTCTGGGGTCTTAGTTACCCTAAACCCTAAACCCTAAACCCTAAACCCCCAAACAAGGGAATCAGGGCCTACTCTGGGTCCTAGCCTGCCAGCGGTTGTAGACCTGGATCCAGAAGCCGAGTGTGCGGTTCCTGGGCTGATAGAGGCTGACGGCTGACAGAGAGGGTTTAGGGTTTAGGGTTTAGGGTCTAGGGTTTAGGGCCCTCACCTATGGTCCGAGAGCAAGAAGGGCCCTCTCAGCTGAAATCCCCCCCCTGCACTTCTTGGGTGCGTGAGTCTCAAGGCCCAAGCCCTTGCTGGAGCAAGCGCATGTCGACCGAAGTGTTCCCCAGCCCAGCTTAGGCACTGAAAGGATCGGAATTCATCGGCAGGATCGCCGGTGAGAATCCTTGGCTGGTTTAGGGTTTAGGGTTTAGGGTTTAGGGTTTAGGGCTTAGGGTTTAGGGTTTAGGGTTTAGGGTTTAGGGTCCGGATTGCAACTACCAAGCCCATCTCTTTTCATTCAGATTGTGTCTCTGGCGTGGTGTCGTAGCTCTCTACATCCTGGCCTAGCCCTGATCGAGGAGCACCCAAAGCTCTGACTCGTAAACCCTAAACCCTAAACCCTAAATCTTACTTTCGGCCACCACACCCACGACCCCCCAAAAAAAATCGCGCCACACTTCGCCCCGACACTCTTTGACTCGAACCGTTTTTTCGGCCTGGGCGCGTGCACCAAAAGCCGGTGTCGAACCTGACAGGCTGCAGGGTTTAGGGTTTAGGGTCTAGAGATAAGGCTTGAGCGTACTTTCGGAAATCTCGGGCCTCAATGCTCAGCAAGAATTTGTGTTTTCGTTGGGTGCCCCAGGCTTAGGCATTACGAATAAACCCTAAACCCCAAACCCCCTAAAGCCCTCAACCCCTGAACCCCTCAACCCCAAACACCATAAACCCGAAACTGTAGGTCTGGCAGCTTCCAGTCGGGATCCTCTGACAGCACGGCCAGACCAATTTGCTGCACACTGCAGTCCGTGAAGGACCTGGGCGGCCCCGAAGCTGCCCCGGTTAAGGTTTGGGGTGTTAGGGGTTTAATCCCGAACCCGATTGGTTTGTGATCAAAACCCCCAAACCCTACACGCAAGAAACCCTCTCCGTTTTGGGCTTAAAACCCTTGACTCTAAACCCTAGAAGCCCGCTTTGGATTTGCTTAAACGCCCTGAACCGTAAGCCCAAAAACCCTAACACTAATTGAAATAAGGGTCCTAGATGCATCCCCCCAACATCTTGGCGCCCTAAGACCCATAGAACTCTCAAGGCCCAGCGTCAGCGACCGGTGCAAGACATCGGCGGAGGGGCCCACACTGCTCCTGATCGCGTCTCAGACTCGCCAGGGCTTTCGGGCACGGAGACAGGTTGGGGGTCCTCCACGCCGCACGCCTCCGAAACCTATTTCTGACTCAGATCCCCTTAAGGCTCAACTGAAGAGAAGTAGGCCCAAGGGCCTAATTACTTAAGTACCTCGGAGCCCACAGGCACGAGAAGACAACAAAGTCAACAAAATCCCCAAAGGTCAGCGGAGGTCTGAGTCCGAGCAAGGCTCTTGCGGCCATTCGGCGCGCCGACGCTGCTCGACTTGCGTCGTGCCTGCACAACTTCTTGTGAGCCCAGGAGGCTAGAGAACTCGTGGCTGGTGCTTCCATGTGACTAGGGCACCGATTTTCGGGCACCCTGACGATATTGGGACGCCAATAGTAGGTCCTTCTAGATTTGAGAGCTGCCCCACATGCCTTTCCGGCTTCGCTCTCCGACTTTGCGCGTGACACCGCCGCCATGCCATCAGTCTGTTGTAGGTTCTGGGTAGAGAGTCTAATATAGGGGCCTGAATAATTAGACTAGGGGTTTGGGGGCTATTGTAGTATACTTATAGAATACTAGTAGTGATTCGTCCGACATATTCTGACCACTATTCTTTGGTTCTGCTTGCCCAATTAAGGAGTACTATGTAAGGTCTACGATCTTCTGGGCTGAGGTTGAGAACAAACATGTCCGGAGAAAGCTTGAAAGGCTTTGTTCTGCACATGCACTTCTTGTAAACTGGTTGCCGCGCGCGCTCTCCTCTATCTGTTGTGACTTGAGTTGGTTTTCAACTCGAGCCCATATCCTGTGCAGAGAGGCACAATACTTACAAGGCTCATCTTCTGGTTCTAGGACCAAGAGCATCTTACCCTAAACTCTTTGACCCTAAACCCTAAACCCTAAACCCTAAACCCTAAACCCTAAACCCTAAACCCTAAACCCTAAACCCTAAACCCTTCACGAGCAAGGGAGCAGAGAGTTCTCATGTTGAAGTTGGTCGTACTGACTAAGACATGCTAAGATCAGGAGATTTAAAGTTTAGGGTTTCGGGGGGGGGTATAACCTAGTGATTTGTAGGGTTCGGGGGTCACAAGTAGTCTCTTTTCAGGGCTCGGTCTCTCTCTTCTTCTTCGCGGCCTTTCGCACAGTCTCAATTCTCTCTTCTTTTCTTCTTTTCTTCCTCTTCTTCTTCTTCTTCTTCTTCTTCTTCTTCTTCTTCTTCGCACACACTCTCTCTCTCTCTCACTCTTTTCCCTGGCGCCTGAGATTTAACCCATCCTAAGCCCCCAAAAACTTTCTTGGGCTTCGTAGCTGGGCCCGCTGCTCCCCGAACGCGGCCCAAAGCCTGGGCGTTGAGGGTTCAGGGTTTAGGGTTTAGGGTTGAGGGTTTAGGGTTTAGGGTTTAGCGTTGCTGGGCAGTCTCCACACTCTCAGCATCCATACCAGAGATGTGAAAATTCGAAACTCATATGGCCAGAGTGTTGACACAACCTACAGATTCCTTCAAGAAGCGCCGTTGGGCTCTCCGGACCCCTATGTACACCACAGCAATATGATCGGCTCGCAGGCTCCTTTATAACCCAACATAGCAGCCACACGTCCCCGGTTTCGAGAGTTTAGGAGGGTTCTTGGGGGGTGTAGTATAGGGGGCCTTAATAATAATAAGAAGAAGGTTTGTTTTTTTTTTTTTTTTGGGGGGGGGGGGGGTTATTATTGTATAATTCTATCGGGACCATAAAGAGACATCAATGAGAGAAGGGGGCGTCACATCCCTGGCTCAGCTCCAGCTGAAGGCCTGCTGGAGATGACCCTCTCAAAAGCCAACCGCTCCTTGTCAGGGCGGCGCCCTAAACCCTAAACCCTAAACCCGAGTAATTGTTCCGACCCCGCCCGGGCTTATGACCCTGCCTGACATGCACCCAGGCTCCGGCGCTGTGCGCGCCCTCCACAAGCCTTGGCTGCTTCCCCACCCGCAACCCCCAACCTTCAGACCCCCAAGAGTCCCTCCCTCATAGTTCTCTAAGTTAGGGTCCCTTTTTCGGGGGTCCTGTGTAATGTTGGACCCTGTTTAGTAGGTGCCTCCGCTTTAAAGTCTATTTGGCCGAATTATTCAGGACACCCTGACTGTTTGGGGGTCCCTCTTTACAGGCAAATCGTCCGGGCGCCGTCAGAAAATTCCATGTGGCGCGCCTTTAGAAAAGATAGCCGGGGCATCGCTGCCCCTTTTAAACTCATCTAAACTCCTCCCTATTAGAATCATATAAACCCCCGGGAGCGTCTAAACAGGGACAAATCCAGCCTCGACTGTTCAGCGGGGGGGGGGGGGGCCACATTAAAGAGGGTCCAACCTTCTGAAGCGCCGTACTAGGGACCCTTTTTAAGGGGACCGATTTTAGAGAACGGGGTACCCTAAACCCTAAACCCTAAACCCTAAACCCGTAGCCTCATAGACCGCGGCTTAGGGACTCCTGGAGCTGCGCCGGCGCGACCACCTTGACGCACTCGATCCGCATCTGCCTGAGAGCCGAGCCAAGGGTTGGTATAGGGTTTAGGGTTTAGGGTTTAGGGTTTAGGGCTTAGGGTTTAGGGTTTAGGGTTTAGGGTTTAGGGTTTAGGGTTTAGGGTTTAGGGTTTAGGGTTTAGGGTTTAGGGTTTAGGGTACCCTAAACCGAGGGCTATTCTAGGGCAGAGGTGTTTACCAAACCCTCCCCCATGCTCTTGAGGCCTGTGTGGGGGGGAGGGGGGGGGCTGTTGGGGCTTCGGAGTTCAGTGAATCCCGGGCTTCACAAGCTTAGCCCTTGCTTCAGGGCTCCTGAACCCCAATCCCTGAACCCGTACCCTAAACCCTAAACCCTAAACCCGAAACCCTACAGTAGATCCAGCCAGAGGGGCGAGGCGCGGAGGATGGCGCTTGCTGCCGCCCGCTCCTACGACATGACAGGCCAAATCCCAACCCCAATCTTCGGAACATAGGGTTTTAGGGGTTTAGGGTTTAGGGTTGAGGGTTGAGGGTTTAGGGTTTAGGGCTTCGGGGATGGCCATTCGGCGCCAAGGCAAGGCGTTCTTGTCTCTCGCGGGCTTTTTTCTCTCGGATATGAGACAGCATCGCCATCGCCTCCATGCCACATCCCTTTGCGGAAGAACTGAGACCGAACTCAAGGCCTGGGGCGCTTCGGGGTTTCGGGTCTCGTAGGGCTTGCTGCTCTTATTGGGCTTCTGGTGGGGTTTTTGTATGGCTTCAAAGGGCTTCTTAGGGGGCTCGAAGAGGGCCCTGCATGGCCCCGGGGGTATCAGGGGGGTTGGTTGGCAAGCCTGGGAAGCCTCGGGCGTCCCATTCCCGTGAACACATGATGCGCGCCTGCGCCTGCCAGAAGGGTTCCCAGAAGGGTCCTAGGGTTTAGGGTACAGGGTCTTGCCCTCTTTTTTTTGGGCTACAGAGGTCAGCGCCCCCCAATGGTAGACGAGCGCCTGGTATAGGACAACATACAAAATCCTCTTTTGTGCGGGAGCGGCTTGGCTCCGGGGTGCTCCCCTCCTGGGCCAAAGCCTCGACCCCAGATGCCCCCGAAAAGGGAGGGCATCCGGGGTTTCGACAGGAATGGGGTGCTTTTGGCTTTCAGGTACCCAAAAGCGTTCGGAAGCTGGCGCTACTTTCGAGGGGAGCAGAGCAGAGCACCGGAGTCTTTAGCTCAGGCATTCTCGATGCTCAGCTCGACGATGCGGTTTGAAACCTCCTTCATGGTGGGATAATCGAACATCAGCGACGACGGGAGCCTCAGCAAGGGGCAGAGAAACCACCACGGAACACCTAGAAACCATCTCGAAACGACACCACTCAAGTAGCAAAGCATGGAGTCGATGCTGGTTTGTGCACAAAGCAGCAGCCCTGTCATCCGAAAACGAATGCGGCCAGGGTGCTTCACACCGAGTTGCTGCTGCAGGCCATTTCTGAAGGAGACGGCTGTCAAGCTGTCCTTGGCCCGACTGAACTTCGTCTGTGTAGATCTATTTGCTAAGGAGCTGACGGGCGACTCTTGGAGACGTAAGACATTCAAGACATCCTTGTCCACAGCATTCCACAGAACTACAAATGGGAAGCGGGAAGTTGTCCACGACACGTAGTTGCCCGACGACTTTGTGTGTTCGTGCGTGTCTGTGGGGAGTTATGTTCACTTCGAGCACGAATCCGCTCCAGGAGCATGGGCTTCATCGGAACAGTCGTCGACAGTGTATACCGTATCCCGTTGTTCGGGCTAGGGATTCTCTGGTGCCGGGCATACTTCGCCAAGGAGCCATGCCACTGTCCATGAGCGCACTATCCAGGAAGAGCTCGTCATCGACGCCGATGGCCTTTGGTGAACAGTCAGTTCAGTGTGTAGGGATCTGCAGGGTTACAGCGTCAGGGCTGCTATGATTCAGAATGCAGGGGCAGGGGAGATAGGGCCGGCCCGGATGGAGGAAGGGTTCGGATTTTTTGTTTGGTTGTTGTGGTTGTTTCCGGAACAGCAGTGCAACATCCCCACTTTCTCCGCCCGAAAGAAATATGATTATGGAGAGCCCCCTGGAAGTCTTGATGCAGCTTCGATTGTCTCCCGATGCTAGAAGTATCTGCGGCATTGCAAGACTTTGAAACTGCGCAAGGTAAGTAGACACTTACTGGCCCAAAACCCAAGGAAATAAAGGTTGAAACTTTCAGAATAAACTACCTTGTAAGAAGCCCAAAAGTTGAAAAGTTAGGTTTTGAGCCAGTAAGGTAATGTGGAGTCCGAAACCCTCTCACCCAGATGACCACAGTGACCACCCCAAGGAATGAGCAGACTCATCAGTTCTGGGAGAAGCCGAAGATCGGATCATGGACATGATGGTACTTGTACCCAAAACCAAGGACAGTCTACACCAAGACCGATGTACCAGGGGAAGTGATGTTGAAACCGCGCCCTTTGAGCTGCGACAAGGGAGAGGCATCTGTGCGGGGGTTGATCTAAATTGTAGATCCTCGCTGCGACTCTCGATTCCTTAGGGATTCGGGTGGCCAGTGCCGCCGAGCTGCTTGTCTTGCCATCTCTTGGACCGTCGACTGGCACAGCAGGTGAGTGGGCTGGTTAACAACAGCATCAATGCAACATGCTTCTGAGCTCCAGCTGCCGTCACGACCTCTGAAGCCCGGAAGGCTGTGTACAGCGAAAAATGGGCATGACACGACAAAAAAAACCAGAAACCATGAATTTTGTTTGTGGTTCTGGTTGTGGTTCTGGCGACGAAGGTCCGCTTGTTCAAAGGCATCATGCTGGAGCGCTAGGAGGTCAGCAGCCGACTCTACTGGCTGGTTCTTAGTATGGTATAACCCCTTAAAGGGTTTCTAAATATGTATATATATGTATATGTATACTATATATATATATGTGTATAGATATCTATAGCCCAAATTCCGAAGAACCAGGGGGTCTAACATCAGTGGCCTGCACCATGTTGGGGT